TTTAACCTTTAAAGGCAGTAACAGCGTCATAGCTACACAGATGTCATGTTTATGGTAATTTATATTTTTACCTTTAGAGGAAGATTTAGCAAAGTTTTAGACCTCTTATGAGCTTAGGAGACAGTGTTAGTGCCCCCAAATAGACTTGTCATTTTATTGCTGAGAGTTGGTCACTTTGTATTAAACTTACATAACTTTAACTAACCCTATAAGCTTTTGTATAGCATTTAAATGAAGTTTAGACATACAGCCCACACATTTTTAGCGTGTTAAATGTATTAAAATCACTGAAAAGACAGATACTTAAGTAAGCTGATTTAGTTACTGTTTTCTAAATCGTCAAACCCAAAACTTAGCAAAATACAAGCAACCACTATCTCGAAAAAATAAAACTTTCCCTGTAAACCAGTTTTTAGCAGTTATTAAGAGCAGAATATTTAAGACCGAGAATTACTTGTTAACCTTATAGCAATTTATTATATTTTGGCTTTAGGAAATCCTTTAGATAACTGTTGGATTATAGTCAACTTACTTGCTCACATATACTTTTTAAAATTCCATCCATCACACATTTTTAAGACTTCATACAACATTCTGAACCCTTTGATGGTTTGTCCTTATCCCTTTTATTTTTGAAATAATCCTTTAGGCAAACCTTTTCTTACAAAATCCTTTCTCATCCAAAAGCAACAGAAATTTCCATGGTACAGGGAGTGTGAAGTTGCCAAAGACCTGAAGTTAACAAACATCACATAAAAAAAAAAAAACAGTATACTGAAATGAAAGAAAGACATAAGTGAAAAGGAACATTGTGAAGTGTAATGTTTGCCATCATTTCAACTTTATTAAAAATGCATAGAAAAAGACTCCAAATACGGTGATGGTTGTAATAACTGTGTCTACGATTAAATTTGTTTAATCCCCTCATGCTTCTCAGGTTTCAAAGCTCTTCCTGTCACCATGTCTTCCTTTTATACTAGGGAAGAACGTTTCTTGTTTTGGACCTCCTCAGCCTGGGATAGTTCCATCTGGCTGAATGAAATTATCTTCTTTCTTCCCATTTCAGACTCGTATCTCATTGACCTCTTGACTTCCATTAGAAGTATGAAAAACAACAAAAATAAAACAAGCAAAATAAAAAAAATAGGGAAAAGAAGACAAGAAGAAAAGGAAGAATCTCAGAAATAGAAAAGAAAGAATGTGGTTTTCTGATCCCGCAAGAAAGCACCCTTGGCATTGGCCTCACAATTCTTCTTTGAGTCTGAAGTCTCTAAGGATCTCAGGATGGCGACCTCATCACCTAGGCAGACAGGGCACTGTAGCCCAGTGGCCCACCCCGTCTCCTCTGGCTCTCCTCACAGGGCTCAGACAGTGCTAAGTAGGCCTCTCCACTTTCCTTGTTCAGATTTGTTCATTGATTAACCCTCTTTGAACTAACACTGCTCCTACTAAAATTATTCTTTAAAAGAGACTCTATAACCTAAAGCCTTTTTATAACAAGGTTTATTTGGGGTACAGATCCAAAGTTCAAAAAAAAAAAAAAGTACATACAAAGAACCTATAGAACACAGCCCATTTTATCCAGGACTGGTTTTGTGCAATAACAAGTTCTGTGTTGTGTGTTGTAATATACACAAACTGGAGATGGTGTTTGCCAGTAAGTGCTTTTTGTTCATCTCCTCAAGGGAATGAGATAACAGAGGGTTTCGGCATATGTAACCCTTTTCTTCATCTCCCATATGAACGATGCTTTCTTTTGGCAGTGCTGGGAATTGAACCCAGGGCCTCATGCATGCTAGGTGTAAGCTGTACCACTGTGCTATACCCTCAGCCTCCCTAAAACCAAATGATTGTGTCAATGGTTCTTTTTTTTTTTTTTGTGGTCGTTGGGCTTGAACTCAGGATCTTCACTTTGAGCCACTCCACCAGCCCTATTTTTTGTGAAGGTTTTTTTTGAGACAGGGTCTCTTGAGCTAGTTGCCTGGGGCTGGTTTGGAACCGAAATCCTCCAGATCTCTGCCTCCTGAGTAGTTAGGATTATAGGTGTGAGCCATTGGCTTGCTCTGGCTTTTATTTATTTATTTTAATTTTATTTTTTGTGGTTCTGGGGTTTGAACTCAAGGTCTACACCTTGAGCCACTCCACCACCCCATTTTTGGGAAGGGTTTGTTTGAAATAGGGTCTCTTGAACTATTTGCCTGGGGCTGGCTTCGAACTGTCATCCTCCTGATCCTCTCCTGAGTAGTTAGGATTACAGGTGTGAGCCACCGGTGCCCAGCTGAGTCAAGGATTTGTAATTCTTTACCTACAGAGTAGCAGATAAAATGAAAAGACTAGGTAAACATTCACTTAATTGTGTATGATTTCAAAATCAGAATACAAATATAGATATTCAAATTTTTATTCTGTAAAAAATCCATTAGTAGAGAAGAAAATAATTAAACTGCATCATGACTGCAGTAGAAGGGAAGGTCTGCATGGAATTGTAATTATCACCGTGAAAACTGATCAGATCAGCAGACTCGGTATTTCAACACACTCACTACTTTGTAGCTGTTTTCATGAATATCTTTCCATCTATGATAATCCAGTGTGAATTAACAGAACATTCCAGACACTAGGAGATCCTGAATGAGCTGGCAGAGCAAGTGACAGAGGGGAATCAAACTGGCTTTCCTAATTGCCAGCTTCGTGCTTATTCTGGGCTGTGTTATCTGTGTTGCCGCAAGGCAAACCATGTCACTGTCTTTTCCATTTTAGAAACAGGTTGTGTGAAGGTTTCCTTTGTGGTCTGATGGCAAAAGACACCTGTTATTTTAAGAAATGCCAACTGCTGATCACGAATGGCAAAATGTTTTCGCAATATTCCTTATGATTCAAGTTGCATTCAGTTCTTCAAATAACCTTCACTTTCCTAAGTTTGCTAAGAACAATCAAGCTGTTGAAAGTTAAAGAGAAAAGGGACTTCAGATGTTATCTTTCCCATGACCTCAGTGGAGAACCTAAAACCCAGAGTGTGTCCAGGGTCTACTTCGAGCATGGGGTCCTCCTGGTTTCTGGTGCAGATTGTTCATAGCATATATGATCAGTGGCCTGAATGCAACTGAGAGGACATTCCCAGACCCTCAGTCCTGATCAGTGTCAGTGTGAGGGGTTCCTGTGCTATTTGCCTCTTTAATTTTGTCATCCGTGTATTCAATACATACTGACTTTGGTGTCTGATGTCTCAGGTGGGAACAGTTAGAAAAAACAAGGACAAGCATTGAGAGGCAGATGTGAGTCAAAAATAATTTAAAAGAGAGTCATTGAGGGCTGGAGGTGTGGCTCCAGTGCCAAGCCCTGAGTTCAAACTCCAGGCCAACAGGCCAACCAACAAAAACCCAACCATACAAAAACTCCCCTGGGGGTGTGGCTCAAATGGTAGAGCTCCTGCCTAGCAACCTGCTGGGGCCCTGAGTTCACACTCCAGCACCACCAAAAATACATAAATAAATAAACAAATAAATAATAAATAAAAGGCTTCAGGGAAACAAAGGAGAATAGTGAAAGTTGGCTGGTGTTTAGAAAACCCGTAACTGTCCGTGGAGAGACCAGAAAGATATGGGAACACGGATGAGGGGGGAGTGAACGACCTCTTCCTGTCAAGGCCCTCAGTGGGGTTATGTCACCCCTCAGCAACCCTTCAGATTAGGGCCCAACTGCTAGCCTCCTTCCATTCTATTGCCCAAAAGGCAACTGAGAAGCAGAAAGGTACTGTAACTCACAGCTGCACAGCTTGCACCAGCTCCAACCCAGGAAGCCTTTGCACTTTGTCTCCTCCACAGGGTGTGCGCGGGCTGACGCAAATGAAAACAGCAACGGCTGGGCAACACGAGTACCTGCTGAGTTATGATGCTGGCTAGCAGGGGCCCCATGGGAGGTCTGTTGAACGGAACTAGGTGAGCATCTACGTGGCACCTGCTGGGAGTTTTATGGTCTTTATTACGGAAACCAGACAGCAAGAAAGAGGACATGCACTTGGGATTTCCACTGGTTGACTACTTCCTGGACAGTAACTGAAAATCTCCATTGTTCGTTTTGGACTTGTCGGAGTGTCGTGTTCTGGATGTCGCGGACGGGCGGTGGGTGACTGGTTTACTTCAAGGATTCGGACGCATAAACATAAGGGTTCAGCGTCCGCTTTTGTAGCTGGTGACCACTGTTCTTACTTCCTTTTGAGGCTGAATTTGCCCACCCTGTTTCCTTAGCGTGTCCCCTCCGTACAGGCCCAAAGCGAACCTGGCCACTTCACACAGCCTTAGCTTAGTCCTATCTGGAGGGCGAGGTCCAGGCAAAGATGGCAGCTCCCTGCACACAGTCACTGTCCTTTAACCGACTGCTGCCCGCGTAGGGTCGACCGCGTCACCACAAATCTAGGTAAAGATGGGCTCCGATGCTGCACGTTCACAATCCCTCGACCTCGCAACTCCCCGACCCGCGTTCTAGAAGAGAACGATTTGCGGTTCAGCTACAAATGCAAGCTTTCACGCAGCTCGCACGCGGTGAGGCCGTCGTTTAAGGCTGATCTGCGGGAGCCGGGGTGCAGGCGTCGGACGCGGACCCGCGCGGAACGCCGTGCGATTGAAAAGCCCGCGCGTCCGCCCCGCGGCGCAGGGGGAGGAGCGGGAGCGAGCGGAGCGATGCGCGGCCCCGCCCCGCGCCGTCCTCCGCGCGGGCGGGAGGGCAGGACGTGCGCCCCCGTGCGGCGGCCGCGACCAGCACAGCTTGAGCGCGCTTGGCCTCCTCCGCCAGCCCAGGCCGCCCGAGCTCGGGGCGCGTGCGCGCCGCCGCGGGGCCCGAGCCGAGCCGAGCCGAGCCGAACCGACTCGAGAGGCGCGAGCCCGCGCTCGGCCGAGCCCTGCGTGTGTGTGTGTGTGTGTGTGTGTGTGTATGGGGGGCAGGGGGAGAGCCTGCGGGGGCGCGCGGCGCGTGCCCGCGGTGCGCGGCTGGGCCCCGGCGGCGGCGGCGGCGGCGGCAGGGCGAGCCGGGAGGCTCAGCCATATTTGATGGTTTTGTTGCTTCGCCCGGGAGTTGTCGGCGTAACTGGATGCCGAAGGTCGCTGGCTGGTGGAAATAGCAGAGTACGTCATTAACATGGCGCCAAAAGCCTGGGCTCGCGCCGTGTAGCCGGGCGGCGGCGGGCGCCCCTATCCCACCAGGAACTTGGGCTCCGCCGGCGGCCGGAGGACGGCGACGGCATGATTGCTGGGTCCTGAGGACCGGTCTCTGCTGGCTCCGTAAGTTTTATCCTCATTTCTCCTAGCGGGGCGGGGGTGCTTCGGGCAGAGAGGCTGCTTTTCAATTTGCCAAGAACGTGCTTTTTCCAGCTGGGTCGGGAACCGAACGCGTTGGGCGCCGGAGCCCAGGTGCGTTAGGCGGCGCCGCGCGCTCCGCGGACGAGGTGTGCGGGCGCCGCCGCGTCCCGAGTGCTCTGCGTCCATTCAAGGGCACCGGGCGGGGGGCGGCTCCGCCGGCGTGGGGGCTCGGGGCTCCGACGGAGCCGGGGCGAGACCGCTTCCAAGTGCAGAGCCCGCCCCCCGCGGGCCGGGGAGTTGCCCCGCGGCGCCGGGTCGGCTCGCTCTCGCGGCGGGGTGCGCACCGCAGCCTCGGCGGGGGTCGGGTCCTCGGGGCCCCCGCGCGCCGCGGGCTCCCCGGCCGCAAGTTGCAGTCCCGCGCGGCGCACGTGGCTCGTGCCTGCGCGCGCGCGGGCCGGGCGGGCGCGGGGAGGATGGAACGTGGAAGGCCGCCCGGGGCTCCGAGCCCCGTCGGAACGGGCCCGTTCGCTGGGGAAATCCGATCCTCCCAGCGCCGCCTCCCCCGCCCGCCATCGGGCAGGAGGCGGGGCCGCGGACGCCGCGGTGCTCAAAGTGGCGGAGCGCGGCGGCGGGAGGCAGGTGCACGGCCCCCGACGCGGGGGAGCCTCAAGTTCCGCGGGCCGCCGCGCCCCGCGCACGGGTAACGGGGCCGAGGGCGCCGGGCCGTGCATCCGCCGCCCACGTGGGCAGGTGCGGGGTGGCCGCGGGGCCAACTTTTCAAAGGAGCCGCCTGCCGCGGCGGCGCCAGCTAACGGTCCGGGCCCGGGCGGGGGACGCCCGGCCCGCCACGCCTGAGCCGCGGGAGCTCCGCACAAAGCCCGCGCGCGGGGGCGGCCGCCGCGCCCCGCCCCGCCCCGCCGGGAGCGCCCGGCCCCGGCCCCGTCCCCGCGCCGGTTCCGGCGGCGGCCGCGGGCGTTTGTTTGTTGGTTCCGCGCCGCCTCCCGCCGATGGTTTCCTGTGGCAGAGGGGACACAGTTTCCAGAACTGTCTGCGGCGGGAGCGGGCCGCGCCCGGCCGGCCGAGGTGCCCGGGGCCCGTGGGGGCGCGGGGCTTGCGGGGCGCGGCGGCGGGGACGCCCGCGAGGTGTCGCCGCGCCGGGTCGGTTCCGGCGGAGGCGCCGGAGTTACTTCCCGCCGCCGCCGCGGTTTCCGCCGCCTCGGGAGCGCGGCGGGCGGACAAAAAGCGGGCGATTTGAAGGCGGCGCGGAGCGTTGGCGCCGCCGCCGGGCCGTTCGGAGGGCGGACCAGCCTGGGCTCCGGAACCGGCGGCTCGGGCCTCGCGGGGGCGGGAACGGCGTAGCCTCCCGGAAGCCCGCCTGAGGGGCGGACTCGGTTCGGAGCGGCCCCTCGGCCCTCGCCGGTCCACATTCACGGACCTGCCGGAGAGGGGGCTCGGCCACACTTGCCGCCAGAGACCCGGTCCCTACTGTCACCTTGAGGTCAGCTTCTCACTGGGCTGTTGTTCCTGCGTCCCCCGTTCCTGCGGGCACCGGACCTGCGCTTGCATTCCGTGCCCGCAGCTCCTGTGGCTTTCGGCTACTTAAAGAGTTAGGTTCCCGCATCGCCTTTCATCCCCGTGCTGCCAGCTGCCCCAGCATGCAGCACAGCTTGAACCTGATGAGTCCTAGGATCCCAGGCTGCTTCCTACTAAGAGGACGGTGGTGGCACCGGATTTAATCTTGATAAAGTTAGGTGTATGTTCATTTAAAAGCAAAAAACCCTTGGTCTTATTAGTGGCTTTCCAATCACTTGACAGGTTTTCTGCCTTAGCAGGGTTGTAAGAGTTGGTTTCCAGGGAATATAAGGAAAAATGATAAGACCAGACTGACAAAAACAAAACTCTCGGAGTTTAAGGGAATGCTGTGTTGTAGAAACCAACTGTGGCTTAGCCCGGGCTTGAGGAGGAAGCCTGGCACTTGGAGGGCGGTGCCAACAGAAGAGCTCCTGGGTTTTAGGGGTGGGCACCCCATGGGTACTGATGAATAATTACTGTGTTCTTTTTCTCGTTGTAGAATGTCATCTCAAGCGACATCTAATGCAGAATCTTGTCATTTCTCTAGTGTACTCATGTGGTCAAGAGGGTGTACGACTTGACGGCAGTTGCCTTTGATGAGGGAGTTGTTGCCTTCTTAGTAAATGCAAGAGTGGCTCTGGAGGGCCTTTTGATCCGGCAGGTTGGGGTGACACTGAAGTTCAGCAGGGTTGAGTGGAAGAGATGGATGCTGGACCCTGGGCGGGTTGTGGTGTCTTCCAGACCAGGGCTTGAATGGTCCTTCATTCAAAGTAGCAGAAATAAAGAACGCTGACTTGAAATGGGACGCTCAATCACAGGAAGGGGCTGTGTGTTTCATTTTCAACCCTGGGGTAGCTCTAGACCAGTGGGACTTGATGTGCACTCACACCTTCAAAGGGGATGGAAGCCAGGCCCTCGTGTGTTGGTCGTGGGCAGACACTTTAGCACTGAGCCCTAAGATCAAACTTCTAACTCATAACCCCAAGGTCAGATTTTGGTTACTCTCAAGTCAGGCTAGATTTATCTTCTGCTTTTACAAGGAGAATCCAGGCATGATGAAGTGATTGAGCACAATTGAAGTAAGTTCATTTTGAAACTTTGGGTGCTGGGGATTGAACCCAGAGCCTTGCACATGCTAAGCATACACTCTACCACTGAGCTCCATCCCTACTCCTGTTAACTTTTGGACGCAAGATAATTCAACCCAAGTTTGTTCTGTTGAAAAGCACTAAAAACTGGCAATGATTTTAGAAAAACCACTGGTTATTTAGTATCTCCCTCACAGGAAATTCTTTCTTTCTTTTTTTTTTCGGTGGTGGGGTTTGAATAGGGTGGTGTCTTGTACGCTGTGCCACTTGAGCCACATCCCCAGCTCTTTTTGCATTAGTTACTTTTCAGGTAGGGTTTGAGTATTTTCCCCAGGCGGGCACGGGACCAGGTTCCTACTTATACTTCACAGCTAACTGGATGATAGATGGGCGCTGCCACACTCAGCTTTTTTGTTGAATCTTACTAACTTTTTTTGAGCCTGTCCTGGAACTGCTGTCCCCTTGATCTCTGCCTCTGGAGCAGCCGGGATTATTTCCAGGAAATTGTATTAACTTGAAAGTATAAGACAGTTTCTAAGTAGTTATTTTAAGTGAAGATTTCTGTCATGAGGGTTCAAACTAAATTATCATTTGGGCCTTTCTTCTTCTTAATCCAGGGTAAGGAGCAAGAAATAGCAAAGATAACATCTGATGGTGCACAGCTGAAATCGGAACACTCAGGAGACTGAGCGCAGGGACAGTCCTGAGTTTGAGATCAGTCTCTGGCTTCATAGTGAGATGCTATCTCAAAAAAAAAAAAAAAAAAAAAGCAAGATTAGCAAATTGCTTGCTGTTGAACCAACTGCCTGGCTTTTGTTTATCACAAAGAACACTAAACCAAATGTAAAGTTTCTGTGATCACTCTGTGCTCTTTACCCGCCTCAGTGATGGCAGTGTAGCGATGGTGCCCCAGTGTGGAGGCTGCACACTGGTGCCTATAAACCCTCAAGATGCAGCACTGAAATTTCCACCTCATGTCAGGGATTCGCTGGATTCCCTACCCATTTCTTTGGATTCCAGTTCAGCGTTTAAACCCTGGGGACTTTTTTTATGATTTCTCTCTGATCCTTTTACTGCCGCTGTTAACCATATGTTTCTAAATTGCCGTCTGGAACAATATTTTTCTGTTTTAGCTTATTTCTGTGATTAGCATGGAAATGAAATGAGATAAGCAGTTGGTTAGCGGCTTTATTACTGAGTGTGCCCCAATGTCAAGGATGGGCCCTGGTTTTGGGTTTCCTTGAGGAAGATTCACTGGCTTCTACATGTGGCCTCTGAGTTGCTTTCTCTTCTTAGTTAAGGATTTTGTAAGGATTGAATGTGTCTAATGTTTGACTTTGTAAGCTTTAAGGGACTTGCCCAGGACCTGGTAATTGACTCCCCTTTAATCCAATGCACAATAAGCCCACTGTATTACCAGATTTATTACATGTGCTCTTGACCAACCTGATCAAAAAAAAAAAAATCCAAAGACAAAAAACCAAAATTTTTAAACTTCTGAGCACGTTCTGCAGCTCAGTGGTTGTGGAGATGCTCTCAGTCCCACATTGTCAGTTGAGTTTAAGTCCTGTGATCTGCTGTATATTTCCTGCCCTTCATTGTGTGAAAATCTGCCTCCCAAAAAGGCAAGTAGAGTGCTGGGGGCATGGTTCAAGTGGTAGAGCTCCTGCCTAGCAAGCGAGAAGCCCTGAGTTCAAACTCCAGTACTGCCCCTTAAAATAAAAAAAAAAAATGGTGCCAAAAGCAAGATCAGTGTTTAATGTGCTTAATTGAAGTGATCAAGTAACAATTTGAGAATTTTCAAAGGTGACCTGTCTTTAGCAGAAGTTAGGTGGCATCATGGGAAAATGAGTGAAGGGTAAGCAGCACAGCCCTGAACTCTGCATCCTGGTTATATGAGGTGTTTCCTCCATGGTGGGCTCCTGGGAAACATGAACTTGGGATTCCAAGGATCTACTGCATGCAGTGCTGATTGTAAACATCACGCTCCAGTCTATTGATTTGTAGAAAGGATCAGTAAGCTTCTGGAAAGGGGCAGGTAGTCACTCTGCATTTGAAAGGGTTACAGTCATGGACATAAGATAAATTAGGAAGCCTGTGTTCCAATAAAACTTTATTGATGGGCATTTTTAGTGTACTTGTCATATGTCTGACTCCCCATACTATTGAAAATATGTGAAAACTATTCTTGTCTCTTGAGGGGAGTGGGGTTTGAACTCTGGGCTTCACACCTGCAAGGCAGGCGCTCTCTCACTTGACCATGCCTCCTGTCCATTGTGCTCTGCTTATTTGTTGCTGGGCTGACCTGGAACCTCCATCCTCCCAACCTCAGCCTCACAAGTAGCTAGGATTATAGGCACAAGCCACTGGTGCTCAGCATGAAACCAATCTTAATGTGCTATACAAAAACAGGCGGTTGAGCCCTGATTTATAGCAAGACAGTGGTCACCTGGTCACCTGATTGTTCCCTTTCTTGTAGAACCTGAAAAAACAGCTTGAAGTTAGAAGCTTGGTAAGTGTGAAGGGAGTTGGCTAGTCTGAAGGCTGTGTTTTGTTTTTTTGTTTTTAAATAAAGATTTTAGTCAGCCTCAGTGTGCAGCTCCATTGGCCAGTGCTTCATTCCGTAAAGTAGAGTTAAGAGCTCATAGGACTGTGGTTCTTCTCCATCCAGTTTCTAGGTAGGATTTATGATATGGGACTCTGTGTACCTGGTGAAGGCCTAGGTTGCTACTCATGGCCAGCAATGGGGCAGGCTAAGGAGTCCTGTTTGAGGGATAGTCGTGTAGCTGGCTACCATGAGGGAGATGTGTGTGCTGCCCTGGTAGTCAGTGCACAGGAAGGACCAACAGGTCGTCCTGTGCTATCTTTTGCATACTTGACAGGACAAGCTAACACCCTGTTGTTCATTGATTCCATTTTACCTGTCTGCTCCCTGGTGACACACTGGAGCCTTAATCTTCAGATCTTCAGATAATCTGTCTCTAAATTCCAGTAGACATCAGGAGACTGGAGCCTACGTCCAGGCACCGGGGACACAGGGAGCCCGCCCACTTTGGAAGGAGGCTCTGGTTCTGCTGTTGGTTTTGCCCTATGCGCTGCAGACCCTCTTCAGAACTCAGCGTGCTTATCTTTCAAAAGAGGAAATTAGTTCATCTCTGAAGTCTTCTCGAGCACTGGAATTAGGATTTACATGTTTCTTTTAGGGAGGTTTCCTGTAGACACAATCCATGTTGTAAGGCGCCTTTCAACTTTGGCCTCAGTGAATACCTTGCAGACCTTCCTGCTAGGTTTTCAGACCACCTTGTGTTTCCATGACCATAATAACAAGACTCTTGACAGTTGCCATGAAGTGTTTGTTGTTGTATGCAGTTCAGATGGTTGTCAGTGCAGTTTTTGCTAAGTGTGTTATCAAGGACTTCCAGTTTACAACATTGGAAGTCTCCCTTGCTCTGTTTTTGAAAAAGCACTTAAAACATTTTTGGTGACTTAATATTGTTAGTGGTAACTGATAGTTTCTGGCAACCGGCTATAATCAAGGAACAAGTTCCTCAAAAACAGCTGCATTTCAGTCTGTGCACAGTGTAATTGTCATTAGCTGTTTGAGTCTGGTTTCTGCAGAAGCTGCTTTGTATATCCTGTACAAGAACATCTGGTTTGATCATTTAAAAATCTTAAAATCACTCTGTAGACATGTGCATTTATTGGCTTAAGGTAGAATAATGGGTTTAGAATCCTTTCCCACCTTTACCCTTGCCTGGGTTCATTTGTTTTTTTCTAAAATGTCATTTTTTTTTTTTTTCTGGGGGAGGTGCTGGGATTTGAACTCTGGGCCTTTCACACTTGCTAGGCAGGTGCTTCTACTACTTGCACCACCCCACCAGTCCTTTTTTGTGTGTTAGTATTTTCAAGATACGGTCTTGGGAACTATTTGCTAGTGGTGGCTTTGAATTGCAACCCTCCCCATCTCTGCCTCCTGAGTAGCTAGGATTACAGACGTGAGCCACTGGCACCCAACTAAAATGCCATTCTTTAATTAACTCTTAGTCTGACTTGAGGCTTTGTGTGTGTGTGTGTTGCAGATGCTATATAAATTAAAATTTAGAGAATTCCCCCAAGGCAGAGTGGAACACAGACTTCTGATTTCAGTGAATGGTTTAGAAAATAAAGCATCATAATCTGAAGAGATTCATCTTACTTTAGGTAAGTTGTCAAGAGTTTGCAAAGAGGAATAGTATTTACAGCCTTTCTGTCTCTGATCGGCTGGCAAGGACGATCAAGTCATTTCTGGGCTTTGGGAAAATGACCTACTGAATCTTTTGCCATGCCTGCTAGGTTTGCTAGCCATCTCTGGATGGGAGCCTTTTTATTTTTTCCAAACTAGTATTACTTTGTGAGTGGAGAGGATGTTGAAGCCTGTTGATTTGTGCTCTCCTGCTTGAGTCAGTCTATCTTGCTCTGGTTATTCTGGAGCTGGGGTCTCAAGAACTATTTATTTGCCCAGGCTGGCCTTGAACCTCAAGCCTCCCAATCCCAGCTTCCCAAGGAGCCGGGATGACAGTTGTGAGCCACTGGTGTCTTCTTGTTTATTCTCAGAGGTAGCGTCAACCCTAGTTATCTCGTCTGAGTTAGTTTTTTCTGTTGTTACATATCTTTTAAGTGACTTACTGACTGGCTGTTCTTACATCTTTTAAAAACATTTGTTTTGAAGCTTGTTATGAGCTAATCAAGGAGGCCTTCCAGTTCCAGAAGCATGGAGTGTTTGGGCTCACTGTTGGTACTCCTGGCTGGTGCTTCGTTTTGGGTCATGGTGCGCTCCCTGGGTCTTCTGTGGAGTGATGAGCAGGGAAGAACGGTTTCAGATTTTAGGTCTTTACCACTAAAAGTGTAGGTAAGGATCATGATAACCACGTCCATATTAAAGTTCATCGAGAGTGGTGTTGGAGCCTGGTCCTCGTAGAGAGCTGCTCGAGCCTTTGTTCTCCCATATTCCATGAATTAATACCTAAGTGGTTGGTGTATATGTTTGTCAGCTTTTCTCTTTTTATGCACATGGGCCTATGCTTCACTTTTTAGTTTCTCTCTTAGGTATATTTGAGCACGTGGAGCTAACAGGAATTCTGAGCAGATGCAAGTAGGGGTAAAAGTTCAAGATTAGAGGCCAGTGTGGCCTTTGTAGTTGGGGTGTGGATTCATTTACTCCCAAGTCAAGGGAATGAAAGCAAAACACATCGAGGTGCCAGTGATTGGAACAGTTTCTCATGCCACTTGTATCAGTTACTTTCCTCCTTGTAACCTGTTAAAGGAGGAAGAATTTACTTTGGCTCCTGGTTTTAGAGAATCAGTCCATGGTCGCGTGGCCCCTGTACTTGGGCAGAACATCATGGCAGGGGGAGCATGTAGAACAGAAGGCTGTTCACCTCATGGCAGACAGGACTAGATAGAGCCCCCAAGAACACACCCTCAGTGACCTATTTGTAAACCCCACATCCTAGAGTTTCCACCACCTCCAGAATGGCACCGCACCAAGCACTCACCACGGGCGCATGCTCTTGGGGAGTCTGTGGGGACATTTCATATTCAAACCATAGCACTGCTCTTGCTCAGTTGCTGGGTTTGGGGTTGTTTGTTTGCTTGGTTTTTTTGGTGGTACTGGGGTTTGAACTCAGGGCCTGCCTCACATTTGATAGGCAGAAGAGGTCCTGCCTACCATTTGAGCCTCTCTGCCTGCCAGCTCCTGACTCTGTTTTTCTTTCTCCTTTTTTTTTGGACAGGATCTCTATATTTAGCTGAGGGACTCAAGACCCTCGGGCCTCAGCCTCCTGGGTGTTGGGGTCACAAGTGTGTACCACTTGACTTGACTGGGTCCACAGTTGCAAGAGCGTGGAAAAGTTTAATAGACTGTCTTATGGCCTGAGTAGTGGTTGGCAGGTGAGTGTAGCTTGTGACTCACTCAGAACTACTTGCATTCACAAACCTCTGAAAATTCTGGAAAATGCTTGTATTGGTTTTTAAAATCCGAGTTCAAAAACAATTTGTGAATGATGTTTATGCTGCCTCGTGTGTTACAGGCTCCAGTGACGTCTGCAGGAACAGACACTACAGTCTTGGCTCCTTGGGCAGTGGTGATCATTTCTTTGGGAGGTGCTTATTGCTAACGGGACTATTCAGCTGAGTATTTTCAGCTTGGACTCTTTTTTCACAGATCCCTTAGCTTGATTTTGTAACATTTGGTACATGACGTCATGAAGAACACATTTTAAAAGCTCCTTTTATTTTGGTCAGAATACTTAGATAAGGTTAGAAGTGTGACATTTGCAGTTTAAACTATTTGTCAGACAAAGTAAGATACGCTTTTTTGGGGGTATTCTATGATCAGTAATTTATGAATCGATTGGTCAGTGTTTAAGAAAGTAATATTCAAGCCGTGTGAACTTGTAAACAACAGAAAGGAGCAGCTAAAATAAAGCATTAGCTAAGACCCTTGGTCAGATCACTCTCTTTCTGAAAATGCAAATGTTCATGCAAAAAAAAAAAAATGTTATGTAGCTCAGGCTGGCCTTATCAGGATCCTCCTGCCTCAGCTCCTGAGTACTGGGATTGCAGGTGTGTGTCCCCACCCTCTTCTAAAAACAGAGTATGTTTAGGTGTGAGGTTTTAACTTTGACACAGTGGAAGGACAGCAGTAAGTAATGCTAATGTGGCAGTGACAGGTGCAGCACAGGTCAGGGACAGGGTGAAGTGTGGGTATTTCAGTCAGTGGACACGAGCGTGGGCAGCAGTTTAGGCTTTTCCACAGAGCTGCTTTCTCACATGGCCTTGCCTTGCACACGGCCTGGCCTCAGGTGACAGGAGTCACCTGACAGGACCTGTGAGGGTTTTTTTTTGTGGAGTGAGTGCCTGCTGCATCTTCTTGCCATCAGTATTACAGTGGAGACATTGTGCACAGAATTAGACTGAGTCAAAATTACTAGTGTGTAATCCTTTTCATAGCTGTAGAGTTCATGGCCTGACACTTGGTCCCTGTTCCACCACAGGAAGTGTCGTACAGTGTGTTTTCTTCACATCCGTCCCCTTTCTAGAAACAGTGCCTCCAGTTCCTGGTCATGTGACTCTAATGAAGTTCCTTCTTACCTGTGGCCTCTCTCAGTCTCTGAAATTCACCTGCCAGCCGGGCCTCCATGACCACATCCAGGTCACTGCACTTGCTCAGTCATGTTCCTGACACCTCTGGGGAAATGGGTTCCTTTGTCTCCTGGCTGCCATTAACTTACTGCATGCTGACTATCCTTGCAGTTTCTGTCTGAGGAAACGACAGTTTCAAGGTTTAGTGGTAGCTTGCCATCTCACATGTGGAACTCCACAGCACTTGTCACTGAAGCTGTCTGGTCACTTGGCTCTGGCATCCCTGCGGGTGGACCTGCGGAGCTCATTGAGTGTGGCATTCTGTATCTCGTCCATCGTGTTTCTGGCATCTAACTCGATGAAATGTTCCTCAAGTTAACGTGTCAGCCCACACACTGCTGTAGCCCTGTGCCACAGAACGCAGTGAAGGAGAGCTGAAGTAGGGCTCGGGCCAGCGTAAGGTCTTCACGCCTCCTGAGCATCCGCCACTGGTGCTTACTGTGGGTGGAAACCCAGAGGAGTGCTGCCTAGCGGGCCACTCGAGTTGCCCTTCCTGACGGTTCTCAGTTATAATCTGACTTTCAAGTAGTTTTCTTCTTTTTGGGGCCAAGTCCCATGCGCCCACTAACTAGTGCTTTTGTCCGTCTAGCTGTTGTGTTTCCATGGAGTACAGACACTCCAGGCACCCATGAACTGGATCACTTTGAGTCAGGCTTGGTGACCACCGACAGAATGAACTATGTTGAAGACTGGACCCACAGTTCTGGAATGAGAGCTGCCCTGGAGGCCTTTGGCCACCATGTGGTCCTGCTATGTGATCTCTTCATTTCATGTTTTAAGTTGAGAAAATCTGTTCTCTGGAAATTACAGTCTTTAGAGACACATGTGGAACTTTGGCTGTAGGCTGGGAGTTGATTACTGACAAAACTCTCCCAAACTTTACTCAGGCTCCATCCGAGTCACTGCCTTACTAGGTAATTTTTTGGGTTCCTTGTCTGTCCTTGCAATACTCCTGTAAAGGCCAGGATTATTAAGGTTAGGGTAGATCTCCAGCCCTGATGTCTGACTGCCTTCCTGTCTTACCATTCTGGCGGGCCTTCAGCAATCATCCTGTCAAGTCACTGTAGCCAGAAACCCCTTACCCTTGATGTTTCCTTTTAGCACTTTTCCATCCCTGCTTGTCTTGTCAGAGTCTTCAGTTGGGACCATCTTGCTGTCCTTGCTTCCAGTAGACCTGATACTATACCTCGGTCTCCTTTGCATAGTCTGCCTTGTCGTCTCTAACCTGTCCTGTTTCTTCCCCCCTCCTATTAGCTGTTTTGTTTTTTGCTTTTTTGAGTCTTGCTGTGCAACCCAGGCTGTCATGGAGCTTTTAATCCCCTTGCCTCTGCTTTCCTAGTGCTGGGATTGTAGATGTGCCCCACCGTGCCCTGCGCCATCAGCTACTGAGGTAAATAATGTGCTGAAAGCAAGGCCAAAAAGTTCTACAGGAGGAAAATCGTTGAATGAAGTGCTATAGGCTATGCTTGGCTTGGCCTAGTGGGTGAGATTGGCCATGAGCTGAGTCCCAGGTGGAAGTCTGAAAGGGAAGAGGCCTGGCCTTGCCCTGCCAAGGTGAGTGAGTCTTGGGCTTTCTTAGGAGAGATGCTTGGGTGGAGCTGGGGAGGGGTCAGGAGCGTGTGAGTTTCTTTCCCTGGACATTTTGTACCTAGACCTGTTTGTAGTGTGGCCTGGAGGGAGAAATTTGTGGAGGGAATGGCTTGGTAAGGTTCACCTTGCAGATGATGAGTGTGTTGTAATTGATAGTGGGAAGAAGATTGTGGGCTTGGAGCAGGAAGGGTGTGGGAAGAAATCTAGGGATGTGTGGATATTTTAGTCTGTCTTCTGCTGCTACACAGAGTGCCTCACACTGGGCGGCTCACAAACAGTGGAAGCTCATTTGGCTCACGGTTCTAGAGCCTGGGAAGTCCAAGATTGAGGGGCCACATAGACCGCATGGTGAGAGGCACGCCATGGTGATTGTGTAAGAGGGAACTGAGTTGGTTGAACCCACTCTGGATAATGCAGCACTAACTCCTGCAAGGGATTAGTCTTTCCAACTCAAATGCCTCAAATTAGGCCCCCCCCCCCTGTTGCACTGGGGACTAAATTCGGAGGACTAATTCGGTTGAAGAACAGCCCGTGCAGGGGATTGACAGGCTCTTATTCTTCAGTTGATAGACTTGGCAATTGGATGCAGATAAAGAAATGGGGAAGTGCTGGGAATCTGAGCATGAGGACGCTGCACAGGACTGTGCCAGGTCACGTGTTTTTACGTATTGTGTGTGTTGTCCATCTCCCCTGAATCCACAAGCTCCTAAGGCCAGGGGGAGCTGTTTTTCTCCAGCCTCTCCTAATCCGTTAGTGTTTATTGGGGAGCATTGTATGCCGTTATGTCCTTGACGTTTTCCTGGAGTGTTGTGTGCTCTCACTGCTGCCTAAGTAGGAGCGTCAGGATGTAATAATGCATTGGCACTCTGTGATCTGAGGCTGGCTTCTAGTGGACACATGTTTGCATGTATGTCAGCGTGGTAACGGGCGCTTTGAGTAAGTAACCCAGGGTGGGATAAGTCAGCCTGGTGTTACGGTTGAAGTACAGTAGAGCCACAGGAGGAAACTGCCCCTGCACTGCAGCTCCTTGGAGAAGCAAGCCCAGCATTCTCAACCGTGGTCACGCACGAACTTCAGGTGGTAGCAGTGGCATTGTTAGACAGAAAGCGCTGCTTTGACTGGAGTGCACAGTTGCTTGAGTGTGTGTGTTAGGAGTGTCGCTCTGTTGTGGCGGCTTTTGTTTGGTGCATGCTGCTGGTCTTTCCCTGGGAGGAAGGCATTTTGACTTGGTGATTCCAGGTTCTGTCAGCTCTTCTCCTTTGGCACAGAGCCTGACTCTGCTCCTTGTTGCTAGCTGGCAAGTCTTCTGTGGTTTTCTCACACCTGCTCATGAGGTGTAAACTGCATTCTTCCTGCTTTTTTTCATCACACTTTTTTTTTTTCTTTGACTTTTCCCTCAAAAGTTTATTGTGAAGAATTTCAAAGATACAGAAAATGTGAAGGAATGTTGGAACAAACACTCATATACCTCTGTCCATCCATCAGTCAGTCCCTAGTATTTTTTTTTTTAATTTCTTTTATTCATATGTGCATACAATGTTTGGGTCATTTCTCCCCGCTTCCCCCTGCCCCCTCCCTTTCACCGCCCCCTCCCTTACCCACCCTAACCCCAGGCAGAAACTGTTTTGCCCTTATCTCTAATTTTGTTGAAGAGAGAGTATAAACAATAATAGGAAGGACCAAGGGTTTTTGCTAATTGAGATAAGGATAGCTATACAGGGCATTGACTCACATTGATTTCCTGTGCGTGGGTGTTACCTTCTAGGTTAATTCTTTTTCATCTAACCTTTTCTCTAGTTCCTGGTCCCCTTCTCCTATTGGCCTCAGTTGCTTTAAAGTTTCTGCATTAGTTCCTTTGCATTGAAGACATCAAATGCTATCTTTTTTTTTGCCTATCCTCATATCTCCCTTGTGTGCTCTCCCTCATCATGTGATCAAAGTCCAATCCCCTTGTTGTCACACTTACTTTTCAGGAATTCTTTAAGCAATACTTTTTTTTGTTTTTTAACTCTTTGTACACAGGCTGTGGGAAGCTGAGGACTGAGTTGTATTTCATCTTTCCCTGTTCTCTTGTACCTCCCTTTGGGTTCTCTTGAAGCTTGGAGGAGAGTTCAGTGCCAGCAGTTGCTGTTTGTGGCACACACAGGACAGGGAGACAATCAGTTCAAGTGGGGAGTGCCTCACAGATATTTGGCCATGGGAGTTTTTGTAGGACTGGTCAAGTTGTAGAGTTGTAGGTGAGTGGGACTCTGAGGGAAAAGATGGGTGGGTTTTAGGGTTACGACCCCGTCCATACTCTGAAACGCTAGCCCACACAGTGTGACCCTGACCAGGGTTTGTGTTCCTCTTGCTAACTTCTTGTACTTTTTGAAGAGTCAGTTGGTGATAAACCCCCAGATGAACACAATCAGGTGGAACAGTGGCAAAAGCGTCCTACCTTAAGGGCACAGGAGAACAGGCACCCAGACATTACTGATGATTCCTTATGCCTGCAGGGGTGCGTATCACATTAAAGAAGTGAAACCCCCGAAAGACATCACAGCTGGGGGCTTGCATTTTCCTGCCACACAGGATACTAGGTTGTGAAATGACTAGGTAGAGGAAAAGGGGTTTTGGTGTCCCAGAGAGGCTGACTAGGAAACACATGGGGGAACATGATAGATAAGGGTGTTTATGTGTCAGAGCCATTTGTGGGGGGAGCGTCTTTACAAGAGGGGGTTTATGCCCTGATTTTAGTCAGGTAAGGGGAAGGCAGAGACCCCCTCATGCTGCTGTTTCTCACTTGCCTTCGGCTTGGACTGAACCAGCTGCTCTTGCCTGCTCTTCTGCATGTCTCTTACAGTGGAGCTTTCCTCTGTATTTTTCTTTCTGGCTTTAGGGATCTAACCCAGGGTCCGGGTGTGCTAGGTAAGCTCTCCACCCCCTGAGCTGCACTCTAAGCTGGAGTTTTGGGTTCTGATCACAGTCCTGTTGCAGTGGTGCAGTGGTTCTGCACCCTGTCCTCTGTGCTGCACCTTCACTGCACGTACCGCCTTGTCATGTTGGGATGCCCAGGGAGAAGACCGGCATGCACTTCTGCCTTGGTACAACTCTCTTTCCTTCTGGAAATCGGACCTGGCAGTAAGGTCAGGACCCACAATGGCCTTTGGACAAGCATGTCAGGTGAATAGAACTGCAGTTTGATCTGTAAGCTCAGTGACTGTTCATTCAGCTTTAGCCCACTGTCCTCGCTCCAAACTGCAGTCTTTGTCTTACTGACAGTGCTAGAGGCCTGTACCACCAGCTAGTTGGAGTTGGCCAGGCAGAGTTGGGGTAGAGCTGAGTAGAAGCAACATTGCATTCAGAACTAGAAGTTCCCTGCCCACAGTGTGACCTTGAGATAGCTGTCTAACCTGTCTTACCTTTAGTTGTCTGTGAGTAAAATGGAGATTGAATCAAGGCTTATATGATGTTTGTGGTCCTTCCAGCCAGCTGTGAATGCTGAGGGGCTGGGGATGGCTTAGAGGTGACGTTTGCAGCTGCATCAGCCCATTTGATTTGTTTCTAGAACTCCAGGTTCTGGACTTTGGTATTACTGCGGCAGTCGTTTGCCCAAGAAGGCCTGCCATGTCGGTCAGTGTGAATCCAGCACATGCAGACCCCCCTTTTCCCCCAACGCACACACAGAAAGCACGAATCTGTCTGAGTGAGCAGGCAGCGCTCAGTGCTGTGGAGGTTTTTCTGCAGTGCTTGCTGCCAGGTCTTGGAAAGAGACTCCTGGAGTAGTTGTAGCAGCAGTGTCTCAGGAATATGGAGAGAAAGAAACCTGGCACCTATTACACATGACTTCTCTGCCCCTCCCCTCTCTTTTAACCTGGTCTGTTAGTCATTGCGACTAATTACGTCTTTGGTCTTTTACATTCGCAATCCAGATGCTACGTAGGCTGCTTGTTTGCTTTTGTTTGCTGCGAATCCTGGCTGCCATCTGAAGCACAACTTGATGATTGTGTATTATCATCTGGGTTAAGTGCTGTCTCATTGCTTTGCAGGCTGCCTGCTGTTTCCCCGGGAGATCATGAAACGAGGTCGCCTTCCCAGCAGCAGTGAGGATTCTGACGACAATGGCAGTAAGTCCTGCTTTGTTCTTGGAACCTACCTGGGTTTGGGTCAGTGTAAAACATGATTTCTCCATGTAGTGTTTTAAATAGCTGAGGCCTTGTGCATGTCAGGCAGGCAAGAGAAAGCCAAGGCCTGGAGAAGCCACGAGTGTGATGCTGCAGGTCTGTCAGCAGATCCTCCTGTGAGCTGGAGCACAGGCACACATTGCCGGATTCCTGTTTTTGTCACTGGGGATGAGCAGTCCTGTTCCACAGTCACTGGTGTATGTTTTTCCTAAATGTGGGTTATGGTGCTTCCAAGTTGCTCTTTATGAAGTGGGAACTTAATCAAAGCCAGGTGATTATTAACTAGTTCAGCTGGACCCCAGGGGAGATTGGACCACTAGTGTGATGAGAAACACAGCGTCCAGGCTCTGCACAGGTCTTCCCCTGCACCTCCCTGGTTTCACCTTGATGGTGTGATGCTGCTGCTGCTGCCTGCATCACAGCCTCTGTCACCCCCATCTTCTCACAGTGCAGCTGAGAACCAGAAGTTAGATGGCTTGCAGGCAGTCACAATAAACGTCATGCAGTGTCTGTACTGAGAAGCTAGCAGACTACTTACAGGAGGGCTCCAGAAAGGAATTTTGTCCTCAACACAGTGCCTGAGCTGTAGCCCAGTACCTCGTGTTGGACAGACACCTTGAAAGAAGGCTTGCTGTCCTGTGTGGTGGACAGGACTTGGACCTGCTTTCAAGGACCTTGGCCTTAGGCCTGTAAGGATTGTTCTGATGTGACATCTGCCAGGCAGTTACAGAACTGTCTCCTTGTTGTGCTGTGGAAACAGACACACACAAGCTCAGGAGGGAGCCCCAGGCAAACTTACAGGGGACATGAAGGGTGGGGAGGTCCTGAATTCAGAATGAAGTAGGTCTTAGGCGAACAGGGTTGTTTTAGTTTCCTGGCCTTAAGTTGTCAGCTGGTGAAAAGCTGCATGTTGGAAAGCAAGGCTGTGCTGCTGAAGGGGCTGTGCTGATGGAGGGTGGCTTAGGAGAGGACCAGGGACTGCAACATGGCCTGCATCTGGAATTTTGGTGAGCACTGTGGGAGGCATGGATCAGCGAAAGAGAATTGGCATTGATGGGAGGGGTGCTGGGTTTGTGGTGCGTGGTAAGGTGTAATCTGACCAGATCTGATCTGAAGGGCTGGAATCAGAAGTCAAGGAGTGGGGCAGCAGTGGGGCTGCTGATGGGAGCAGGGAGAAGTGAAGTGGGCAAGGGAGGGAGAGAGTGGTACTGAGGGTCTGACCTCCTGCTGGCAGGGAAAGACACCTGTTTGCCTTGTGAAGCAGGCTCTTGAAGTTTCACAGCTCTTACTACTTGTTTTCTCCAGTGTTCACTGTGCTGCATGTTTTACTCTGCAGGCAGAGGCAAGCTTTGGAATTTCTTCTGACTCCTGTGATGCCTATCAGTGTCCTCATGAGTTACTAAGTATTCAGAAATAGTTGCTCTTTGCTTAAGTACAAAGAGCAGCAGTGTTTTTTAATCTTGTGTTTTAGATTCACAATTAATCAGAAAGTCTTATGAATTATTTCCACAAACTAATAAGGCCCAATAGAAAGCTGAGTCCTGTTGCAGTGTTTTGGCATTGGGCAGTAGGTTCATGCTTACCGGCTTTGGGTTCATCACTGCTCCATTTCTTCCCAGGGACAGCTGGGTTAGAGAAGATTCTGGAAGGCTTTCTCACACTTTCTGGCCAGCATTGTCCAATGGAGTGGAAGTGTTCTACTCTAGTGCAACTGAGGGACTGATTGCTAAATTCTCACTTGATTTTAGCAAATTCAAGTGTGGTGGCTGCCATGTTAGGCACTTGAGTTTCAGACACATTGCCAGTCTAGTCCTTCTGAGCTGTGGGGAAGCCCCTGCCCCAAAGGCCCTTATTAGTGGGTTAAGGCTGTCAGACAAAGCCCTGTCTACTGGGTGGTTGAACCATCAGGCATTTATTTCTCATCGTTCTGGAGGCTGGAAGTCCAAGATTAAGGTCCTGGCAGGGTTGGTTTCTTCTGAGGTCTCTCTTCCAAGCTTTGCCAATGGTTTCTCTCACTGTGCACTTGCATCCCTGGTGTGTCTGTGTTAGTAGATTTCCTCTAGGGACCGCTAGTCGTATTGGACTAGGGCTCACTCTAATAGCCTTTTTAAACTGGATCTCCAAATACAGTCACATTTCGAGGCACGAGGAGTTAGGTTTCAAAATACTGATGTAAGGGCACATGTACAGTGAAGCCGGCAACAACCCTAGAAGACCAAACGCTTCGTTTAAAAATGTGTTTGCAGTGGGCATGATGACACATGCCTCTAATTTCAGCACATGAGAGACTGAGGCAGAGGCAGAGGAGGATCCTGAGGTTGGCTTGAGGACAGCCTGGACTACATTGCAAGACTCTGTCTCAAAACAACAAGAAAGGCATTTCCACCTGGACCCCTGGTTAGAAAGGGAGGAGAAAGAATGTCCCAGGTGGCCACTAAAAGTGACCTTTCCTATGATGGGCCATTTGATCCTGATAGATTCAAGTTTGGCTCCCTGAAGAGGCTGTGGACTCTGGATGAAGGTAGCTATTTCTAGGACGCTGAAGGGTTAACCTGGGGATGTATCCCACCCAGGCTGGGCGTGGCTGTGGGGGATGACAGGGATACTCATACAGGTGGTTCAGTAGAAAGCATGGCACTGCTTTATGACTGTGCTGCCTGTCCAGGCTCATTGATTTGATAATGACAGTGCATGTGAGATGCCAGTCTCACAGAAATGTGCACATTCACCCTTAGGACACACCCTCCATCCTCTAGGTAGTTGCCACCAACCCAGTTGCATTGGCATCCCTCTTGTACATACCTGGTTTGTGGGTGTGCCTTCTGCCTCTGCAGTGGGGTCTGCAAAGAGAACATGCCTGTGACGGCTCCACGCCCCGCGTGCCTTAGCTGGGCCCGGGCATGTGGACAGTCCTGCTGTGAAGGCTGGGCCATAGTGTGGCTACTCTCCAGCCCGCAGGTCTGACAGAACCCTGGCAGTAGTTCCCAGCACAACGCAGAGTAAGTGCAAGCAGAAGAGAGAGAGGCAGCTATAGACGTCAGTATGGGGCCACATCGCCAGCCACAGGCATGGCTGGGCCCTGTGGCTTCCCGTTCTGGGGTCCATTGCTTTTTTTCTGCCTGGCACAGGGGAACACCAGTGTGGCACTTAGAGTTGGGTAGGTGGGTCACAGTTGTCATCCTGGAGGCCCATCCCTGTAGGCAGATAGGATAGAGTCATGTCGGGGTGCGTGCAAGTGACCTCTGTTAATTGCTGGGCTCCTGGGATGGAGTGGCCTAGCCCAACTCAAGTTTTCCATGGTGCCAGGGTGTGTCCCAGTTCTGGCCCCAGTTTGCGTCTTCATGTATATATTTCCTATAAAAATAGGCAAGGATTAAGTAGTACTTAATAAGGTTATGTGGAATTTTCTCCCCTTCCTCCAGGAACATGAGGTTTGGTTAAGGTAAGATAGCCAAATACAAATGGTGTTCTGTTGGTTTTGGTTGTTTCTCAGTTTAGTGCCTCTCAGAGATGCAGAGGGACACAGGGGTCCCTTAGTTTTCACAGAGAATGACAGACATGTGCTGATGGTCTGAAGTGACTGATAAAGTTGTAAAGTGGGGCTTCTTGCTCCTGCACGCCATCCTAACTTGAGGGCTGTGGAGGAGGGCCTGGAGCGGGCCTGAATGGTCCTTCCTCTCCCTGATTCCACACCTGAGCTCTGGTCATCAGCTTCCCTTCCCTCCATCCTCTGTGATGAAGCAAAGGGAAATGCACTGCAATTCAAGCTTGCAGTGCAGGTCAGCTGAGGGGCAGACATGAAGTTACGTGATTTCTGTTTTTCTGGGCTCCTCTGACTTTATTAACAGGCAAGGAAGAAAGCCTGACAATTGCAGGGGAAGGTCTGCTTTGGGCCCAAGTGTCTCGTTGCAGTGAATGCATTCCCTCACACCCTTACCCTGTGAGCTGCTTTGTTCAGTTGTCTTCGCTTTCTTAGTCTGGCAGTTGTGCTTGGTCACCTTGTGTGTCTTTGCTCATACGCTCTTTGCGTCAGGGACCCTGCCTCCACTTCTTTCTGCCCGACCAGACATTTAATTTCCTCCGTGTCCATTAACTGCATCTTAGGGTACTTTGTGGACTTTGGACTCAGATACTGCAGAACATGTATTGTGCCGTACTCCTCAGGGTGACTTTGCATGGAGTCTTGTGGTGGCAGCTAGCACAAAGTGGCCCTTGGAACTGGACCCCTGAAAGAGTGGAGGTTGAGTGAGGTGTTGGTGTGTCAGCTGTCTGAAGGTTTGAGTACTAATTGTCTTTACGCCTGTTGAGCATTTCTGGGCAAAAGCTTCAAGAGTGTGTGTGATGCCTTTGTTTTTTGGAAGGTGGAAGTGAGTCGGACTGCAGGTGAACTGGGCTGGGGTGGAGGAGTTACAGCCCAGTATAAACAGCAGTTAACTCAGATGCTCACTTAATGATAATGACTACTTCATTTCAGATGAGAATCTGTGCTGTTGGCTTTCTTTGCACAGGGATGTGTGTCAAGTCTGTACTGGTGCTGTTGACAGTGGGCTGTTGCATGAAGTGCTCAGCTGGCTTAGCACTGAAGGCAGCAGCATGTCATTTAGTTTTGGGGGCAATGTGGGAGAGGGGACTTGGCATTTGGGCCATGGTGAAGTTTCCTGTAGGTTGTGTTTTGTGGTGGTGTGCACTTGGCCAGCCGTCACTCAATCTCAGAACTCTTGGAGGGCATCACCATAGAGGCGTGTTCCACATGAGCTGCCATGCGTGGGAGGTGTGTGCAGTATGCATTAGGTTTACTCTTGAGGCTTCCCTTTACTTCAGACCTCGGGCAAGACAGCATGGATATTTTTAGTATTTTAGTGTGTGTGGCGGGGGAGCACTGGAGAAAGCAGGGCTCAGAATGGTGTACTCTGGCAGGGTGCCCTGATGATGTGCTGTAATCTCTGCCTGTCTTCATCCCGTGCCCCATGGTCCTGTTGGTATGGAAGGAAGTGAAGATATCTATCATAAACAAGGCAGGGTGCTTTCTCTCACTCATCCTTTCCAGTGTTCAGAGTGTGCACTCACTCTGATAAGTGTACATATCAAGAGTTTTAAGTCACTTAAATTTGTCATAGAGTAGACCTGACTTCAGGAAATAACATTACCTTGTGAGTTGCAGTGAAAGAAGTTAGTCATCACTGCTAAACTTTAGTGTTCCCCGAGCCTAGTTTTTATATTCTTATGGTCCTTAAATATTAGCATTCTGGAAATAAAACCAAAGGTACCACCAGCCAAACATAGTCTTACTCTTAGCACTCAATTTCCAGTAAGTGCCGGTGTTTTGCTATAGCGTGAGTCTCTCTCTCTTAGTCCTTGAAACGTTAATTTCTGGTTTGACTCCCCTCTGTACTTTCCAAAGTGTTTTTATAACAATTTTAGAATCACTATTATTGTAAGTTTTCTTGAAATGGTGTTCATTGTCCAGCCTGGTTTTGAACTTGAGCCTCCTGTTGTTCAGCCTTCTGAGTGCTGGAATTACAGGCAAATACCACTGTTGTCCAGCTGCAAATTATTTTTGTTTTGTAATGTTCTGGGAGCTTTTCAACCACCTGGCCTTGGAGAGACTGGCTGTAGCAGAAGTGCTGGTGTAATAAGGGGACACAGTTTTTTAAGTCTCCAAGCTTGTACATGGAGGTGCCTTCTAAGAAGAAAGCTGTAGCTCCTACCCTTTGTTCTTTGAACATGGCATTATTTTTCTTGCTCAAGGCTGGGTGTATGACTCAAGTGGTAGAGTATTAATCTAGCAAGTGCAAGGTCCTGGGTTCAAACCCCAGTCTCACCAAGAAAAGAAGAAGGCTTTTTTTTTTTTTTTAATGATACTGGGGTTTGAACCTAGGGCCTTGTGCTTGCTGGGCAGGTGCTCTGCCACTTGAGCTGTGCCCTGGCCCAGGGCATCTTGTTAGGTGAAACAGGAGTTGGCTCCTGTGTTTGTCACTTTTACTTCTTCCCTTACAGGGATGGTGCTCCTTACAAGCAAGACTGACTGACTGACTCTCCTGAACAACACTAAAAATTTTTGTCCAACTCTTCAAAAAACAAGTACTGAGAATTTGCTGTGTGCGCAGTGCTGACTGGCTGCATTGTGCCATAAGTTCTGTGCCTTACTCCGGTTGCCCTTGCTGTTGTAGTGGTTGGCCATGAGCAAGAGCTGGATGAGGGTATGTCCGCAGCGAAGCCTGCTGCTGGACAGGACTGGGCAGCGCCCTTACACCGTGTCCCTTCCTCACCTGTTCTCACCTGGCCCAGCAGCCAAGTCTCCATGGGGGAAGTAGAGATTTTCCTTCTCCTTCATCATTGATGGAGCTCTCAGTGGAAATAGCTCACAGTAGCTTCACAGGGGACAGTGAGCTTCAGTATTTAGTGCACCTTGATAAGTTTTGACTTGTTTAATCCATGATGTCATCAAGATCAAAACAGTCCTTCCCTCTGTCTCACCTCCAGGCAGCCCCTGAATCTGCTGCCCCTGTGGATATGTTTGTGCTTTGCAGAGTGTGCACAAAAGGGACCATACAGTGTGTACTTGATGCTGCTGTGTGATGAGTTCATTCCTTTCTGTTGCCGGGTAGAGTCCCAGTGAACAGACGTACCGTATTTCACTCACTCATTCAAACAGTGTGGTGGTGGATTCTGGGGTGGTTTGTGGTTTTGAGCTTCTGTAACTGAGCCAGTGATAATTTAACTTTAGCTCATTCCCAGTCTACACTTTATGCAAAGTGACTTTAATAGAATGAGTTATTTATTTTTTTGCTCCTGTATCATGTTTACAGTAGGTAAAGAGGATGAAAGTTGGTGTGGTTAGTACTATTAGGTACCAAATTTTTAGCATCTTTGGATATCTATTTAAAAGCAGACGTGCAGACCCCACCTTTCAAGATTTATAAAAGCCATTCTGGGGAAAGCTTGCAAGTGAGTGTCATTGCACAGTTTGGAGTCTGTGTCTGCCAAAGCTGTGAACTTCCCAGGAAGCTGGAAGACCACAAGAAGACGGAAAAGGATCACAAAACCCAAGAGTGAACAAACATATTGTTTCTGCTTTAACTCAGAAAGTATTTGACTCCAAAGACCTTCCACACCTACCTCACCTTCGTTTTCATTTATTTATTTATTTATCGGTGCTGGGGTTTGAGCTCAGGGTTTACACCTTGAGCCACTCTACCAGCCCTTTTTTGTGAAGGGTTTTTTGAGATAGGGTCTCACGGAACTATTTGCCCAACTGGCTTTAAACTGTGAGTCTCCTGATCTCTGCCTCCTGTGTAAGCCGGGATTATAGGTGGAGCCACCGGTTCCCGGCCTCACCTTCATTTTTAAAGTACAGCAATGAGGTGGTTCTTGTTAGAGTTCTAATTTTGCTTCTGATTCATAACCCTTTCAGGACAATTTAAAGGATTAGTGCTGGGGTGTAGCTCATGTACAGGGCCCAGGTGTTCCGTCCCCAGCACCAAAAAGTCTAGGATTGGGAGGTGGGCATCCCTTTCTCCCAGAGTCTTCTCTGTCTCCCTCCTTCTGGGATTCCCATCTAGATTCTGTACTCTTCTGCTCCCTTCTTTCAGCTCAGACTACAGGCGGGAGCAAAGGAGCCTCTCCAGCCACCTTGGCCTCCGTGTTCCTAACTTGGCTTTAAGTTTCAGAACTTGTGTGAGTCGAGTCCACTTGCCCAGGTGTGCCCGGGATATTTATTTCTTTTGTTGTGGCAGTGAAACATTTCTGCTGTGGCGTAGCCTGATTGGCACCATCTGTGGTCCAGGGGATGGATCCCAGGGCCTGGACTGAGTTACTGAAAGTTTAGGAAGCACTTTCTGAAATATTCACTGACGTGCCACAGGCCACCTGTAGGAAATGTAACTCTGCTGATGCCATAGCAGCCATTGACCTGTGACCAGCCTCATACCTGGTGCTGGTGCTCAAGGGAGTAGCACCTCCCGTGATAGGAAGTGTGCAGAGTCCACTTAATGTCCCAAGGTCTTAACCAGTCAGTGCTCTGGTGCTCTGTCCCTGGTTCTGGATTTTATGGACAAGAGCTTCTGTTTGAGTGACGGGGCTTTACTGGTAGAGTGGTAGTTCTCTTACTTAGACTTTTGGGGCTTTGTGGATTTCTGGGAGGTGGCACGTAGCTATTCAGAGTGGGTACCTGTAGATAAAGATGGATGGTAGAGGTGAGTTGTTAAAGTCAGGCAAAATCTGCAGTAGTTGTGAAGGTTGATTCGGATCTCTGGTCATGCTCCAGTGCCTTCAAAGATGAGCCTGCTGCAGTTGTCCACGGAGGCAGTGGTTGGGGAGCAGAGAAGGGCTGGGGCTGAGGTAGCTTGGCTCTTTGTGGATGTGTTCTGAGGAAGACACATAGAAATGATGATAACATTCTTCACAGTGGGGTGTAGACAGCAGGCTTGGGTAACAGGTGGAATTTGTTTCTGTAATGCTGAGTTACTTGACAGGCCAAGGAGCTACCCTGGGGCTAATGTCTACTGTGACAAGACCCTGGGTCTTCAGGGAGTTGAGTCTGAGAAAGTAGTTCTGACAGTCTTCCCCTGGGAGTGCTGGGTTAAAACACCCCATTTGTAGGGTACGCGAAAGAGAAGGTAACCCTAGTGGACACTCCAGGAAAGAGGACTTGCCACTGAGGCAGATGAGCATCTCAGGTAGGCTGGATGGAGTCAGTGCTGCAGACAAGAGCTCAGTCCTGGGTCACTTTGAGACCCTGGGGATCCAGGCAGGAGAGGCCATTCCACAGGATGGGAAGTGAGGGAGATAACCATTGGCATGTTCGTGGGAAGGTGCAGTGGGTGATTTTAAAGTTATTTTAAGATTCTATGTTCTAAGGAGTGTTGAATTTGTATGTCTTGTGAGTGGAAACTTTTTTTTTTTAATGTTTTGGGCTTGGCTTTAGCACATGGTACAGTGATGCTGTGATGCAGTGAGCTAGTGATGCTAGCTTTAGGAAGCTCACTGAAAACGCAGTGAGATGTTTTTTGGTTGTATGTACCTTTTAAGAAGGGCGGGACCCCATGGAGGAGGACTTCTGCAGTCCTCTCCTGTGCACTGTCCCCTGACACAGCACCCTGCAGGTGGGGGCTGCAGTGATTGCCTCAGGCCTGCCTTGGGATGTAAGCATACAGGTGGCAGGAAGTGGGGGAGCCCAGGAGAGCTGGGGGTGTGGGGTGGGGTGGGGGTTTTGAGGGTCATCACTGAGGGAGCATGGGTGTGGTGACCTGCCACTCAGTGACCTGTGCAGTGTTTAATGGTCCTGTTTGAATATTTGTTTTCTTAGGCCTGTCAACTACATGGTCCCAGAATTCTCGATCCCAACATAGGAGAAGCTCCTGCTCCAGACATGAAGATCGCAAGCCTTCAGAGGTACTTCCTGAACACATGTTGGACTGTGCATGTCATACACATGTGTGTGAGCGGGCCTGGGCCTGTCCCCATGCCACGCCATGCCAGAGTCTACCCCCTAGGAGCCTCTTGAGGCTAATATAGAGTTCCTGGTGTGTAAAAAAAGTGCACAGTGAATGTCAGTTATTACTAATTTTATTCCTTTTCTCTTCCTGGTCTTTCCTCTGAAAGCCTCTTTCAGTGGCTTTTCATCTGACCAGGTGCTTAGTGGGTTCAGCTGCTGCCAGGCCACTGCCAGTGTCCAGTTAGTTTAGCCATGAATTTGTGGTTTGTTTGACAACAGCCCAGTGTAATTCTGGGAGTTCCTTTTTGGGGACTATGCTTAAGGCTTCCTTCCCCTCTTGCCCAGTTTGTCCCCAGAGCCCACATTGTGGTATTTGTCTTTCTGTCTAAAGTTGCTTTAGGTGCCCACCTCTCAGCTGGCCTTTGCTGGTCAGGGGCCCTTGCTGCTCTGAGAGCCATTATCTTTGCAGACCTTTACTGGTCTCTGAGCATTCAAGTCAAGGAAGTTCTGTCTGCCAGTTTTCCAGTGAGCAGGTTATGGGAAAGAGCTTCTGATGACCTCTGGCCTTGTGCTGCCTCTTTCTTGGTGGGACATCCGCCAAAGTTGGCCTCATCTTGTAACAGCAGCGCAGAGGCACGTGTTTCTCAGAGGCCCGTCCCAGACCATGGCCTTAGCCATATAAGGAGGCTGGCCAGGAGGCACAGGTCAGGGGGTAGGGAAGGTGGTCATTTGACCTTCCTGGCCTCTAGTCCATTTCACCTGTAGTGCCTGGTCCTTTTCCATGGCACTGTGGCATCTTTGCTGCTCCTTCGTTTCTTTTTAATTCCTGTGCTGCCTTCATAATCCCTGAGGAGCATTTCTGACGCTCATACCCTACGGCTTTTATTCAACCTAGGAATGGCTTGGAGCCCCTTCCTTGCCTGCACCAGATGGCGAGGAGGCCTGTGAGCATCAGGGCACATGCTAGCCTTGTTCAGCACGTGGACATTTCTCTTGAGTTCAGACTACTTCATATGTGAAATGCTCCTGTTGAACTTGACCCGGAACTGGAAGTTGGCACACTGGAGGGCTTCTGCTTCAGGCCTTGACCAGAAGCACCCGTCTTCGTGAGGAGGTGTGGGGCTGCCTGCGCCCCTCATTTTGTCATGTCACTTTGCTTTCCTTTCCTTTTTGGCACACTTACTTGTTGTTTGCTTGTATGGCTAAACTGGAGTATGTTTTTACCTGACCTGCTTTGTGAAGGCCTATGTGTTGGGTTTAAAGGGCTTTTCTTTGGGCTGGGGCAGTGCACCAGGTTCACGGGTTCTGTGCTTGACCAGAACTCAGTGTCCTGTGACACTGAAGAAGATGCATGGCCAGGCCCTTGCTTCTTGATGGGCCTGTGGGAATGAGGAGTCATACTGGGGGAAAGCAGGGTTGAAAATGGCACCTAGAGAAGTGGCACTTTTATTCAGATACTGCCTCAGACTTCTTTTTTTTTTTTTGTCTTTTTCTCTTCTCCCTCCCACCCTTGTCTTTTTTAAGTGGTTCTGGGATTGAACTCAGTGCTTTCTGGGCAAGTGCTCTACCATGTGAGCCATGCCTCCAGCTCTGCCTCTGACTTTGTTATTGAAGTTTATGAAAGTGACCCCCCGCCTGAAAAGCCAGCAGGGAAATCAGGCGTGGATCTGGTAGCAGGCATGTGATGTGAACTGTGCTGAGCAGCACAGGAGAAGCTCCCTGTCCGAGAGAGCAGTGTGATGGCTTACTGACGGTGGTGCCCCTGGATACGCTGAGTGGGCGGTGCCACACTCTGCCTGGGCGGGGCCGAGTCACACTGCCTCAGGCCCTCCTGCAGTTTCTTCTTTCCGCCTTGATGGGGAGGTGGGGTGCTCTCTTGGCACAGAGGCACTTTTGAGTCTTGTGGGTCGGTCTGGTTTTTGTCATCTCCTCACGAAGCCTGTTTCTTGGGCAGAAGTTTGGCCAGGTGAAGTGGAGGTGTGCTGACACTTCTGCCCTTCCCAAGACCCTCCTGGCTTGCCTCTCCTGCACTTGTGCCTGGCACTGGTAGTCCTGGGCCTTGCTCTCAGCACACATCTTATGCCAGGTTCCCTGAGGAATAATCAGTGCAGATGAGCTCTTGGTGGTTGTAGAGTCTTTGGCTTGTGACTCGGTGGACTTTGATTTCTGGACATTGACTGAGTGCACCTTTGAGTGGGAGGTCTGCCCTGAGAGACTCATCTCTGAATCGAGAGTTCGTACAGGTTTCTCCGAGTAGCAGGGGTGCCTCTCTTGGCTCGGGTGATGTAGACGCTGCTTCCCCTGCCTGGACTGCCAGAGAGAGTGGGGCAGTGTTGTCCATTGCCGACCATCCAGGACTGAGTGAGGGAGAAGGAATGTTTGGCGGAGGGTTTCTGTAATAGGTCAGATTTGTTCTGTGCTGGTACAGTGGGCTTGTTACACGGCAGCTCCATGGTGCCAGTGCTGGAGGAGAATGCAAGTATCAAATGTCAGTGTCCCTTTTCCCCTCCAGGTGTTTAGGACAGACCTGATCACCGCCATGAAGTTGCATGACTCCTACCAGCTCAGCCCGGATGAGTACTGCGTGTTGGCAGACCCCTGGAGACAGGAGTGGGAGAAAGGGGTCCAGGTGCCTGTGAGCCCCGGGACCATCCCGCAGCCGGTGGCCAGGTAGAGATGCCGAGGATGGAAACACTCCTCTCTGTCCACCACCCTGTCTTCCCTCCAGTTAGGGGCCTGAGAAGGGAGTTTCTGAGTTGGTACAGTGTCGTGAGATCTCACGGGAGTGGAGATGGGGCAGAAACACAGTCCCGGCACAAAGGGTAGCTAGTGTGAGGGCAGTGGCTCCTGAAGTTGGTTTGACCACCATCTCTGGAGGGAGGGAAGTCCCTGATGTCTCCATGGCTGCTTCCTCCTTCGCAGACCTTGTGAACTGCAGAGGGTCCTTCTGGGCCTACAGTGGTCTACCCCACCTCAGGAGGAGGACAGGACTTCTCACACGCACGGCGGTCTGTAGAAGTTGTGCATTCTCTGACCTGACAGGTCACTCGTCTCTCTTAGGGCTGTTGCTGCTCCTAGAATCTGGGTGGCCAGTTTGCTCATGGCCTTCCTGTGCAGCTCTGTGTGACCCGGCATCCTCCAACAGAGAGGCTTGAGTGTCCTCTGCTCTGCTGCAGGATCTGCAGCCACCTGCTCTGTGACACGGCCTCTCAGTGTTTCCAAGTGTGGCTCCATTTTGCCTCTAGGCCCTTACCCACTTGGTGTCTCTAAAGGCCTTGGTTGGATTTGATTGTTGTCATTTTGGAATCTCTGAGGAGTCTGTCCAGTGGTGACAGATGCCCGTGTCATATTGTAGTCCATTCTCCATAGGCAGCTTGTTCATTCTCAAGGAATGTTAAACCCTCTAGACGGGGCCCTGGCTTGTGGAGCAGGGCACTGTTGGGGCTCTGTGGGGTGCACACAGCCTGTCACCGAGTCCCCACCACTGGCACACTCAGTCCAGAAGTCTGCACTGCATGACTCTAGCTCAGTTCACTCTGGTCCAGAACAGGAGGGAGTGCACCACTGTGAAAACCTGCTGCTGCTTGCCTGTGTCAGTGTCACACAGACATGTGCTTTGTTTACTAAAGGTGACAGAAATTCTGCTACAAGCTCTATGGGCAGTCTGTTGATGTCCATGCTACATGAGCAACTGTCCTTGCTCCTCTGTTCTGGAGAGCCTGGCTTGGCCCACCTGGCTGTAACCCCTCACCTGTGAACTGGAGGGGCTGGGCAGTTTCTTAGAGCAGCCAGAGGTGCAGATGGTGGGGGCAGCGCACGGGGTGTCCTGGGCACCTGCTTTTGAAGACTTGCGCAATGTTTCCATTTGTACCTATTTCCATTTGGAGGCCTTTAACGGTTTGTAGTTAGGGGGTTTTATTGACACTTGGGGTTTAAGCTTTGTTTTTAGAGGCCTTTGGGATGACACAGCTTAGAGTTAGAGGAGGAAGCTACACCTGGAGCTTTCTGGCACACCTTCGTAGACGTAGCAGAAAGGGTGATTTGGCTGTCTTGTGTCCTTTTCACCCAGGGTCGTGTCCGAGGAAAAGTCCCTCATGTTCATCAGGCCCAGGAAGTACATCGTGTCCTCAGGCTCTGAGCCTCCAGAACTGGGTTACGTGGACATCCGCACGCTGGCCGACAGTGTGTGTCGGTATGACCTCAGTGACATGGATGCCGCGTGGCTGGAGCTGACCAATGAGGAGTTCAAGGAGATGGGTGAGTGCCTGTGTGTTACCTGTGCAGAGCTTGCAGGAACAGGACTATCAGGCGAGTGAGCAGAGCTGGGCTTGTCTGCAGAGGCATGTGGTTGGAAAGCCATGTGGGCATGGAACAGGCTCCTGTGGCCGCCACTGTCCCTACTGTGATCTCTCCTCCTCATGCACTTTGAGAACTGAAGACCAGGGACATTAAGTGACAGATCTGGTCACCTCCGTTCTGCTCTAGTCCCCCCTCACTGCAGCTGCTTCTTGGTGTAGGCCCCACTCCAGCCCGGCCTCCCGTAATCCTGCTGCACGCCTGGACTGGTTTTTGTCCTCCCAGTAGGTATTTCCAGATTTCCCTGAGAGCCTCACCACAGCCCAGCTGAGACTGTCTTTTCCTTCACCCACTCGTCCAGCTGAGGGCACCTCAGCTCCTCCAGTCTGCTGTGCCTGGATCTTCTCCATGCCAGGCTGCTTGAGGGTCGCCTTGGGAGTTGTGACCTCAAGACTGAGGTCAAGTGTAGGCTCTGAAGGACTGTGTTTGTGTTGTGGGTATGGGGTGGGGAGTGATGTCGGTGGACAGGTGCCTAGGAAGCAGTCATGTGTGCGGTGGAGGTATGCTTCAAAGCCTGGGAGAAGGACACAGTCTGTTTTCCTCCTGCTTTTCCACGGGGCCCTGGTCCTGCTGCGCTCCCTAGCCTTTGCGTGTGAATGATGCTCGGCCAGCTGGGAATGTTGTTACTTTCTCCTTGTCCAGTTGCATGGTGTCTTGACAGAGAAGCAGATTCCCTTGCTTTTGACCCTGCTGGGGTACTAGTGGCCAGACCAGACATGGGCAGACCAGGGTCATTACAGAAGCCACGGACGCTGTCGATTTCTTGAGACCGAAGCCTCTATTTTAACTTCACAGACAAGGCTCTGCCTTGTGAGCAGCCTGATGGGCCCCCATGGAAAGCCCTGATCACTCAGTGCCTGGTGCTTAGTTGAGAACTTGTCCAAAGACTCCTTCCTGGGCTTTGGTGGATAGTGTAAGGGAGAGGAACTGGACTAACTCATCAGATTTAAAGATTCTGCTGACTGCTTTGGCGGAATAAATTCTGTTCTTGTATCATAAACTGAACACATGCTTAAAGATGTTTGGTGTTTTTTATGGTAAAAGTTAATTATAGGGCCTAGTATTCAACATCTGGTGTTTCCAAAACTAGTAGGAGAAATCGGAAGAAAAGCATTGAGAAACCATTCCATGGTTTAAAAGGGCACTTTTCAGTGTGTGGTTCCTGTAAGTGTCAGCTTTAAAATAGTCTCCAGATTTTTACAAACTTGAGAAGTTGATTTGACCATGATAACATATGTAAGCTGCTAAAGCTCTGATGACCCTGTCCCCCCCCCCCCCCCCCGCTTTTTTTTTTTTTTTTGCAAAGGGAAGGAATACACATTGTGCCCCAGCACCCACCCAGCCCCTGAAAGCCACTCGGTTTCTTTTGGCTTGCTCTTGCTGAGTGACGTACGTATTTGAATGAGTGAGTGAGTGGGCTCCTGCTCTTGCATGTCATCAAGTGACTGCCTTCGAGTGACTGCCTTTGAGCTCAGTGGAGTTCAGAGCCAGGAAGATAAGCCAGTAAGAGAGTGCTCCAAGTGAAATGTGAGCGTGAGAAATCACCTGCACGTCTGGGTTGTGACAGCTCTAGAGAAACAACCGTATGCATCTCATGTCCTCAGATCCTCTGAGAGCTACTTCTACTCTTCTGTTTATTACTGTATCTCCAGTGCCTGGCAAACAGTGAACCACCTGGGCAGGTCTCTCGTGGGAGGGTCTGCAAGGCCCTGTTGTTGGCTGTCTGTGGTTTAAATAAGCCAGCACCACTAACACGTGGACACAGATTATTGAGTGACTCTCGTGATGCTCTGCTCCAGGAATGCCAGAGCTGGACGAGTACACCATGGAGAGGGTGCTGGAGGAGTTTGAACAGCGCTGCTATGACAACATGAACCACGCCATTGAGACTGAGGAAGGACTGGGGATCGAGTATGACGAAGATGTTGTCTGTGATGTCTGCCAGTCACCCGATGGCGAGGATGGCAATGAGATGGTGTTCTGTGACAAATGCAACATCTGTGTGCACCAGGTGGGTGGGCGCTGGGTGGGTGGGGCAGACATCAGGCAAGGGAGGGGAGCCACCTGCCCTCAGCTCATCACTGCCCCCCCAGGGCGCTCCCTGCAGATGCTGTTTTCCCACAGTCCCAGTGCTTCCTGCAGTGCTTGCCGCATGTCTTGCTGCCTTTCAACCAAATGCCTCCGGTCCAGCTGCAGAACTGAAAAACAAATCCTCCAGAGGGTGGACCCCACAAACTGGGTGGCTTAAATAACAGACACTGTCCAGGTGTTGTGGCCTCACCTGGAATCCCAGGGCACATCAGGAGGCTGAGGCAGGAGGCACGAGAGTTTAAGGCCTGTCTTAAAAAAAAAAAAAAAAAAAAAAAAGAACAGACACCCCCCTCAGCTGGTGCAGAAGTTTGTTGTGCTTCTGTTCTAGAGACTGGAAGTGGAAGCAGGGTGTCGTCAGGGGAGCCTGTTCTCGGCCTCTAGCCTGGCGCCTCTTGTGACATGGTGTTCACCCATGTGTCTGTCTTACCAGGCTCCAGTCCTCAACTACTCCAGGGAGGTCTCATCTGAGCTGATTGCAGGCAGTGCCTGTGTCTAAGCAGATGATGGTGGGGGCGGGGAGAGGTTAGGGCTTCAGCTTTTGGGGGCCATAGGGTAGGTTTAACATCAATGCATTAATGTATAAAATGAGCTGTTGATGGACAGGAAAGTGTCTTTTATTAAAAAATATACATTTTTATTTGTGGTACTTAGGTTTGAATTTGGAGCCTTGTGACAGGCAGGTGCACTGTCACTTGAGCCACACCTCCAGCCCTTTTGGCTTTAGTTATTTTTCGGGTAGGCTCTTGTACTTTTTGCCAGGGCCAGCCTCAGACTGTGATCTTCCTACCTATGCCTCCTGCATAGCTGGGATTACAGGTGTGCACCACTACACCTGGCTTGTGTTTGGAGTTGGTGGTCTTGCTGACATTTTGCCTGGACTGGCCAACAACTATGATCCTTCTGATCTTTGCCTACTGAATAGCTGGGATTACAGATGTGCCTTACCACTGGCCCTGCTCTGCATTGTGATGGCAGAAGGATTTGGTGGTTTCCTTGCTATGTCCACACACAGGTTAATCCTTAGGACTTCAGTGAGGGGGACACTGGGCTGTTGGAACGTTTATAGTTGTGTCAGTGCCTTGTCCCTTTCACTTGTCTTTCAGTATAGTAAGGAAGGGATCGGGGCCTGTGGGATGAGTGTGCACATCTGTGTTTGAGACTTAGCAGGCTGTCCCAAGGTACTTTCTCCAGACCTGTGTGGTGACCTCAGGAAGATGATGCTTGTCCTTGGCTGTCTGTGATGACGATTTTCTCTGGAACTTGTCTGTCTCAGCTTACATGGATAAGGAGCCCTGAGGCCATGGCCTCTGGCTGTAGCCAGGGTTGTCAGGTCACTGGGTTGGGGATCCTCTTGTGGTCTGCTGTGCGACACCTGGGCAAAGTGACTGCTGTTGCTGCTTTTTGTGGCTCGCGCCTGTCCTTCTTTGGGTGACTTTTTACTACTCAGCACGGGGTTGAACTCTGGTTCATGATCGACACTGAGGCTTATCTGGGCCTCACACACAGGAGGCTGTGGGCAGAGGTGGCCCTGGCACCAGGATGCCTCTCCCTGTCTTCTGTTTGTCTGGCACCACGTTCATTTCCTCAACATTTCTTTGACTTTCTTTTGTGAAATCCTTCGTGGTGTGTCTTTCAGGTACACTTAATTAACTTAGACCTGCTCTTCCAGTAAAAAAAAAAGTTCTGTCTTCAACGATGACTTTCCAGAATGCCTGGCACGGAACTTTAGCGTTTGAACCTTCCTGGTGTCATTTGGTCTGTTCGTGCTTCCCCAGCAGCTCTGATGACTGACGGCTCCCAGACCCCGTCCCAGCTGTCCCTTGCTTGGCCCCATCCTGCGTTCCCTCTGTGCCCTGGGTATCCCTGCTGCTCAGCACCCATGTGTTTTCTGTCTGGAGAACTCTGAGCTGTGTTGTTGTGACTCCGACTTCCTGACTCCAATTCATTTGAGGATCCGGTTCCGAGCAGTTTTGTTTTTAAAGTGTTTGCTGGAAGTGCTCCAGTACCACTGCACTTTTTTTCTTCACTCACTCAACTCACTCACTCACTCACTTACTTGCATCTGCCTTTCTCTCCTTGAGCCCTCTCAGTCACTTGACCTGTTAGCCTTGATATCTGCAGTTTGTGTCTGTCTGTCTGTGTACGTGATGCTCCAGCTTGCACAAAGCAGGCTGTATTTAAAATCTCACCTAAACACCCCACATTTTCCCCGTGTCCGTGTGTTTCCATGGGAGAGTGTTGCTGCTTGTTCCATCTCTACTGCCCTTGCCCGTGGTGGTGCCTGGGGGGCTCGACAGAGTCTGCAACACTCACTGTGGATCCCACCCTCATGAGCAAGGGCACAGAGACAGCTTCCCCACCCGACGCCACCCAGAAGGTGGAAACCTGCTGTGGCAGCGTGGTGGTGTGGGGGGTGGGCCTCGTAGCAGCCCTTTGCAGGATCCCTGCTGAGTGCAGTTTGCCTCCGAGCCCAGGCAGCTGCTTCTGTGTGGTGCTCGGGGTTTCTAGAGGGGAGGGTCACAGCTGGTGGATGGGGAGGCGCTCTGCTGGTGGGAGTTGTGTAAAAAAGTCTTCCTGGTGCTCCTGAGAAAATGAGAAAAACCAGTCTGTTCCCTGCTTCTCTTGTGCTGGGGATGTGCTGTGACTCCACAGGCCTGCTATGGGATCCTCAAGGTGCCAGAGGGCAGCTGGCTGTGCCGGACGTGTGCTCTGGGGGTGCAGCCAAAGTGTTTGCTGTGTCCCAAGAAGGGCGGAGCCATGAAACCCACCCGCAGTGGAACCAAGTGGGTCCATGTCAGCTGTGCCCTGTGGATTCCTGAGGTGAGTGAACGTTGTTCTTGGAGGCGGGGGGGCTGGCAGGTGGGCAGGGAGCAGGCTCCCAGGCAGCAGCACATCAAGATCAGCATACCCTCACCAGGTGCCTGCTTCCTCTCAACTCACACAGACCCAGGCAGCAGCAGGGAGTCAGCCTCCGCAGGTTTCTGGTGCCCACAGGGCACCCCGCCTGTCCAGCACCTGTGAGGTCACCTGTGAGTCCTTTCCTGCACTTGATGAGCCAGCACTTGGCACCATCCTGGTTTCTGTGCCAAACTCCAGGTCACACTTGTGCAGTTTTTAATCAGATTTTTACTCTGCCTCAGCCTTTCTAATTTCAGGTGTGGTCTGATGTATGTATCTCACGTCCCAGACTTTGATTTAATTTGCATGGCTCCTTTGAGAATACCATATGTGACTCAGATTCCAGGAGGTTTTGGCATGTGGTTTGGAAAGCCGCATGGGTTTCCTGACTCGGTCTTGGTGGTGCTGGGTCCTGCCATTTGGTGTTAACAGGACACAGACCAGTGACCAGGCTAGCTTTTTCTTGGTGGATTTCCACTTTGAATGTCTCGTGTTCTGCCTGAATAAAAGGGTTCTTTATAAGAAAAGGATCACGGATTTACTTGTTCCGTTATTGACAATCTGTCGAGGTGTATTTACTGATTCGGGGAGCAGCAGGTGACGCTGTCCTGATATGTAAGCGCCTTTGCCTTCAGTGAAGTGAGACCTTCTGTGTCTGATTGTTCTTAGAAACTGGGGATTAGGCTCTGGGTGTTGCTGCCCTGGAGCTATCCCAAGGCAGAAGGTAACAGCTCTTTAAACCACTTAACCCACGTTCCATCCTGCTGGCCTGTTCACGACCTCTAGGTGAGCATCGGCAGTCCCGAGAAGATGGAGCCCATCACCAAGGTGTCGCACATCCCCAGCAGTCGGTGGGCGCTGGTGTGCAGCCTCTGCAACGAGAAGTTTGGGGCCTCCATCCAGGTAATTGAGCTAGTGAGAGGGGCTGTGTGCTGTCGTGGGGTGTAGGGAGCAGGGTGAGGGAGGACTCTGCATCATCAGAGCTTCTGACATCGCCCCAGGTCCTGTGGGATGGCTCCGGACACTATCCCTGATGGTGTCCAGCTGTCGCAGGGCTACCTAGACCTCTGCCTGAGCTGTGAGGCAGCCCCAGTTGATCTCTAGCACCTCACTCTCAGCCCTGATTTAAGCTTCTCCTAAGCCTGGTGTCATCCCTTGGGAACGCTGCCTGTTGCCATCCTCCACCTGTGGTCACAGTGTCACTGTCCAGCCCGCTGCACTGGGCTGCTGGTGTCCAAGGTGCTTTCAGGCCAGGAGAAAGAGCCTCCTCAGAGCCTCAGAGCACTGGCTGGATAGAGGGCAGCCACGGGGTGCTGTGTGAGCTGAGCAGTCTCCATGTGTGATTCTTCATGCACTGTGTGTGTGCGTGTGTGCATGTATGTGTGTGCGCGTGTGCACGTGGGGGGGGCAGGCACACAGGAGTCTACCTGTATGTCAAAGCTTTATGTCCAGATCCAGGCAAGTATTAGCAGAGAAGGGAATGGGGATGGCGTGCTGTCTTCATGCTGTCTAAAACCACTTCTGCAGTTCCTTTCTGGGCCTCCCATGATAATCTAGAATTCATGGTCTGTGGGTCTGAATGCTGGGAGTGGCTCTTACTCCCAGCAGGTCAGGCCCCAGGTTCAGCCTCAGTCTGCTGGCTGCGTTCTGAGGGCAGCTTCTCCCTCCACGCAGAAGCACAGCAGCTCGGCACAGGCATACGCTCTGTGCTTGTGGCCTTGGGTTTTAAACAAGTGACTTCATTTGGCAAAGCCAGTTTATATTTTGGCTGATAAATATTTCTCTCAGTAAGGTATCAAAACCACTGGTTGGTGGTCTTACTTTTTTTTAACAACCCCAGTGGTTCTACTTCACATTGTTTTGACTTTTCTGGAGTTCTAGAATCTAAAATATTAACAGAAATATTAAGAGGGCAGGGCATGAGATGGTCTGTGAGATTTGGCTTAGGTTTAAAGTAGTGAAGATTTTTGTATGTCAGTGTTTAAAATTAAAACAAAAAACGCCTCTGGCCTGAGGTTGGATTGAACAAAGAGAATGGAGCAGAAACTTAAAAAAGGCATTCGAGTGCATATGTGAGTGCACACATGTTCTCATGTGGGAAATAAGCTGTGCAGACCGAGAAAAATGGAAATCATGTTCTCCCATGTTAGCTGACGTTCTTCTGAGGGTCACCTGAGCACACCAGTCCTGGTCTTCATCTGATACTTAAGAGGTGGGCAAGTGGGAGCTTTGTTTCTCTTCTGAGGAGAGATGACATAGTGGCTTTTTGTTGCTGGTGACTCTTTTTCCCACAAAATTAATTTGAAGGAGATGGGGCCAGGGAAGGCTGAAGGTTTCTCCTATCTCCACAGAATGCATTGATTTTATTAAACAGAATTCCTCTCTGAGATGTCTGCAGCTGGGAAGGCTCTGCTTTATGTTTCTCTAACATCTGTTTGCTGAGTCAACCTGAATAGGAAAGCCCAGAGGAAGGCCACTTGGCGCCTGCTCAGGGTCCTGCGTAAGCACTGGGCTGCAGCACATTTCTCTGAAGGTTCGAATGCCTGTGTTAAGTGTGGTTTAAGCCCAACCGAGACAGCATCTCGGTTGTCTGTGCCTACTCTGTCTTCCTGCTTGGCCGAGTGCTGCCAGGGAGGAGCCTTGGCCTTTTAATGGTAGTGGCCAGGTGTGTCTCTGTGTGTTCTGCCACCAAAGCTGGCTTCACACGTTTCTTGGAAATGAGGTTATTTACAGATAAAATTACAGCTTTATCTTAGTGTATGTGTGTTAGGTGACTATAATGGGGAACGGAAAAGGGGCTGGAGTTTTCTAGTAGTGGCTGAAACCATGGCTGGCATCGAGTCCTGTCTTAAATACCAAAGTGAGGAAGAGGCTTGTCTCCAGTGTCTGCCTCCATGGCTGTGCAATTGCCTCCAGGGTCTGCCCAAAGAGCTTAGTGAAGCTGTTCAGTTGACCTCATGGTGCTCCCTGCATTAAGGGTGCTTTTGTGTCCTCAAGGAATCTCCTTCCCGGGCTTGCTCAGTGAGATCACAGGGCAGAAGTTAATCACTTTGCTCCCACTAGGCCAGAGGCTTTGCCATCATGATGAAAGGCACTGAACTGTAGCCCTCCTCAGAGAGGGAGGGGTGGTGGTTTAGGGCAGCCCGATGAACCTGGCCACACAGGAGGCCATCCCTGCAGTTCTGCCCCAGCCTCGCTTTTCAGTTGTTGGCATGCCGCACAGACGCAGTGCCTGGGGCCATCATGGCTGAGAGCCTCTGTGCCCAAGGGAGCATCTGCACTGACACGGAGACCTCTCTGTTTCTACACTCTTGCTGTGCTGTGGTCTTTTTAAAAATTCTTTATATAAACTGTACAAAGGGGCTTCACTGTGATACTTCCAAACATGCATAGTGTACTCTGGTCAGATTTATCCCTTCTCTTACTTCCTCATCCCCTTCCCCTTTAGACAGTTTTAAGTAAGGGGTTTCATTCTGTTTTCATATATACGAATAAACATCTTGATCGCATTCAGCCCCTCACCTTCCTTCTCTGTCCGCCCCCCCTTACCCCCAGGCAGTTCCCATTTTATACTCCTGTCACTCATTTTTTAAGGTCCATACTCTGCATGAGAGAACATGTGCTGTGTCTCATCTGCTTCCTCGTTACCTCCTCCGGTGGAATGGGATCCCTGGTGCTGCTTTGAGGAATGGCACCATTTATTTCCTACTTGAGTTGGGACCAGAGTGAGGATGCAGTCTTTTAAAACCCCAGCCAGTAGTCACCTGTCCTGGGGAGATTCTTGTTCAAGTTGTCCATAAAACCGGAAGACCTTAAATCCATGGGAGGAGCCAGACTGAGGCCTCGGACACTGCATATCAAGCACGTGACCTCTGGGCATGATTCTTCCAGGCCATGCCACCTTCATTCTTGTGCAAGTGTCCTTTGTATAACTGTGCGTCCTTTAAGAGGGGATTGTGTTAGAAATACCTTTTAAGACACTAAGCACACTGGGCAGAAAATCCACTTAGGTTTTACCTCTAACGCAAGTCTGCCTGTCCTGCTGACTGAATGGGTTTTGTTCACAATCTTCACGATTGGCTAATTTGAAAAAGGGGCACGTGGGGCAGGTGACCTTGTGGCAGGGACAGCAAAGATTACATGACTAGTTGTTGCCTTAAGCAGCAGGTTTTGAAACTAAGGCACCTGGTGAAAACGAACTTGTTCAGTTACGAAGAACAGCTCTTTGTTTAAAACGGGAATTTTCAGGGTTAAGTGACGCCTCACAAAGCACGTAGGCAACAGTTTGGGGACGTTAAGCTGCCATCTGTACAATGATAATGTACTATACATAACCCCTTTGGCAGAAAAGACCTGACTTTAGTTGGTTCTCACATGTGTTGACAGTGACAGTTTGATGAAAGCCTTCATCTGGAGAGTTCCCCAAATCCCAGCCTTACTTCACTTAGCCAGGTCTTGGTCTGCAGGGTTAATTCATCCTTAACCAAGCTTTTCTGCAAGCACGTGCTTGCAGTGTGGCTCTGGGGCTGTGCATGTGGGGGTGCCCAGGTCCAGGGCTTGCGCTGTGCCGATTCCCTAATGGGCTTCTCTCTCCTGCTCGTTCTTCCCAGTGCTCTGTGAAGAACTGTCGCACAGCCTTCCATGTGACCTGTGCTTTTGACCGGGGCCTGGAGATGAAGACCATCTTGGCAGAGAATGATGAAGTTAAGTTCAAGTCCTACTGCCCGAAGCACAGCTCGCATAGGAAGCCCGAGGAGAGCCTGGGAGAGGGGGCAGTGCAGGAGAATGGGGCTCCTGAGTGCTCCCCGCAGAGCCCCCTGGAGCCCTTTGCCAGGCCTGAGCAGCAGCGGGAGGAGGCCCACCGGGTGAGTGTCCGCAAGCAGAAGCTGCAGCAGCTGGAGGACGAATTCTACACTTTTGTCAACCTGCTGGACGTGGCCAGGGCTCTGCGGCTGCCGGAGGAAGTGGTGGATTTCCTGTACCAGTACTGGAAGTTGAAGAGGAAGGTCAACTTCAACAAGCCCTTGATCACCCCAAAGAGAGACGAAGAGGACAATCTAGCCAAGCGGGAGCAGGATGTCTTGTTTAGGAGGCTGCAGCTGTTCACACACCTGCGGCAGGACCTGGAGAGGGTAATGATTGACACTGACACCTTGTAGTGACCTAGAGAAGAGGACGCAGAGGCGAGCGCTCGCCTGAGCGCGATGCTAGCCAGTCGTTACTCTCAGACCCTTGTACACACCGCAGCATGAGGTTGTGTTGGTAAAATGTGTCCTTGGGCCGGCACACTCATGCGTATCTGTGCAAGACTGCCAGAGTGGGGAGCTTCTTTGATTTTCTTTTTTCCTTTGGACACCTTCCCAGTAACCTTTACTGTTCTGCAAGATGAGATGGGGAGTGTCTTTTTTCACTCCTTCGTTCTAGAGCTGGAGGGAACTGAGCCCCAGGAAAATACCAGGGGCTTCACTCAGAATTGTTTACAGACTGATTCTGAAAACGAGAATGGATTTAATTTATGGGGGAGGGGCAGAAGTAGGACATACTTCCTAGGTGCTGGAGAAGGGCTCGATCAGGAGAGCTAACCACTGCCCTGGCCCACCTTGCTTGTTGGCTCACAGGGTGTTCCCATGGAGCACAGCAGGCTTGGGTGCTAGTCCACGCACACCTGCCACAGAAGACACTCCTGGCAGTGAGGTGCTAAGTCATCACTGAGGCTGTGTACATACTGTGTGCATGCGTGCGTGTGTGTGTGTGTGTGTGTGTGCGTGTGTGTGCGCGCGTCTGTCCATGGTGTCTCTGGCGGGGTGGGCTCTGTGCCCTGGGTCCCGGGACTGGTGTGGAGCCCCTGAGTTCCCTGCATGCCGCAGAGGCTTGTTTTTCACACTACTGGGCTGCCCGCAGCCTCAGCTCTTCGCTGCTTTGTGCCTCTTCCCTCCTTCCCTCCCTCCCCACTACCTTCGCAGTCCCCACCCCACCTCCCTTGCTGCTGCAGGAACAAGCAGGAGTGGGCAGGGCACCCTGCGCCCCATGGGTAATTTCTGACAGAGGCTTGCTAATTGGGATGTGTCAAGAGCACCTTCTCTGCCCAACCCCCTCCAACTGCCAGCTACTGGTTTAGCTCATTAGTGGCCGAGATGGGAGGCTTTGTGGCCTGAAGCCCCTCCCGAGTTAGTGGAGGAGAGGCCAGCAGGCAGAGGGGAGTGGAACTAAACGATCTACATCCCAGACCTGCAGGCCTAAAGATGATGCAGCACGAGTGTCTCGGGGCTCACCCTATACCCTTTGAGCACATCACCTAGTGCTGGCTTCCCATGGCGCCCCTTCCTAGACCAGGTGACGATTCTGGGCAGAGGGGAGGCTGATGTGCCCCCTGGTGGTGAGTGTAAGGAAGCCCTCAGCCATGTGCATGAGGCATGTTTGTGAAGGTGAGGAAGACTGGGGATAAACTGGAATCCTGGTGAGAAGCTGTCAGACCACCAAAAGCAGCTGTCTCGGGTGCATGGAGTCAGGTAGCCCTGGGGAGGGAGGACGAGAAGTCTCCTGTTTGGACTGTGTTTGTCTCAATCACCACAAAATAAAAGTGTAGAAAATGCTTGTGGTGTGCTAACTTTTTTCTGTACTAAGTTATTGAGATTAACATGCACTTAAAATTAAATTCTTAACCTTTTTTTTTGAGTTGTCACTGTTGCTTTTAAAGTAGAACAATGCCTATGATGTGTGAGGAGTGGAATAAATCAGGGTGTGTGTGTGTGTGTGTGTGTGTGTGTGTGTGTGTGTGTGTGCATTACATACATTTTTCTATTAAAAGGCCTAATGGGGAATTTAGCATCAGTTTCAAATGGGCTTATTTATTTTTTCCTGAAATGTGCCATGACGCCTGTGATGATGTAGGCCTCAGAGTTGAGATCTTTGTAAATACAGCTCATCAGGCAGGTGTGACAGCAAGGCAGACGTTAGCCACTACCTTTCTCAGTAGGTTGGTGCCCTGCCTGATTCACAGCACCAGTGCATGGGAGACTCACTTAGGAACAGGTGACGTGAGGGCGCATGTCATTCCCAGGCATCCCTCAGGAATGCTCATGGTCTGAGTGACTGGTAATCGCCCTTTCCTGCAGTTACACACCTCGGGGCACCGCACCTGGCACCTCGGGGCACCGCACCTGGTACCTCGGGGCACCGCACCTGGCACCTCGGGGCACTGCACCTGGTACTGGTTTTGGGGCAGAAAAGGGGCAGAATCTTAGGCTTTGTGATTCCAACTTTAACAAGAGATAGCTGTGGAAGTGGCAGACGGCCACACCAAGTTCCCAGCGCTGCCACTTGACACTGGGATTCTCTCCCCGAAATGTCATTTTCAAAAGATAGATAGGGTGAACATTGTTAAAACGAGTGCTTGTAGCCTGCTCTGACTGGGGACAGCCCTGCTCACCCGCCCCTCAGTGAAATCTGGCCAACTGCACAGCTCCATGAAGAACAGGCTTGTTGTACTTCAGTGCTGCCAACAGTGTTTAGGATTTAGGGAAACCAGCTGGACTCTTCTTGACAGCTCAGGGCAGGGCTCTCGGATGTGGTCCCTGACCAGTAGTGACAGTTTTGGAAGCTTAATAGAAATCAAACTTGGGTTGAGGTGGGGGCCACCCAGCGTTTTGGGTTTCTGCTTGGGAACCACTACAGGGGAGGTGTGCCTAGGGTTTGGGTGGTGTGAGGGACACAGCAGGTTCGCTGGTGCCTCCTGCAGCTGGGGGAAGAGCTGTGAGTGAGGAGGCTGGCGAGGGACAGGTAGGTGCTTGCAGGATGGCAGGCCATTGGCTCAGCTCCACAGCAGAGGGACTGCTGCATAGTGAGGCGCTCACTGCTCGACAAGGGTGGCAGCCAGAGCAGAGCTGCTGGACAGTGGGTTGGGGCCTTCTGTGGATGTCACTCGTCAGGTGGGGAGCAGAGCCCTGAGGAATCCTTTAATGGGAGAACTACTGAAGCTGTCAGAATCAAACCCGAATCGCACAAGGCTCAGCTTCCCTACTTGCTGTTTGTGTGGGTGATTGCAAGTGAGAGGTGCGTCTGTCTGCTGCACGTCTGAGTTGAATACGAGAGCGGCCTCGCATGCGCACAAGCTGGGTTCTGCATTTTAGTGTTGGTTTTCATTTAGGTGTGGGCACTTGTGTTTGAGCTTCCTCTTAAGTCAAGTCTCGTCTGGGTGGAACAATACTTACCAAAGTACAGTCTGCTGGTCACCTCCATTCCCATGTCAGTCAGGATTTCTGTAAGGAAACTGGCTGGGAATGTGGTGTGTGCTATCAGGAGTTAGCGAGGCCTGTGACACAACAATCGTACTCAGAGTGCCTTTCTTCTCAGTTCTTTAATGAAAAATGTGTTTCACAGTAAGTAATAATAAAGGGTCGATGTAGAAACAAAGACAGGAACTCTTGACAGTGTAGTGAATTGGTTAAGGTCAGGAAAGGCATGATGGCATTTTCCTGCTTTAGGCAAATGTATAGGCAGGTGACCTGTGTGGCTTTTCATGTCTCCTTTCTTCCTGCCATCGAGGCTGCCTGGAACACAGCTGGGAGTGTTAGGGTGGCGAGTCTGTGCTGAAGCCAGGATACAAAACTCTGTAGCTTGTTGCTGTCCTCAGGCCCAAGGAAAAGGCTGGTGACCTTTGAACCTCCTGTATTTAAAGTAAGGCAGCAGGGGATGGGTGCCTTGTCAGGAGGATGTGGATTTCGGGAGTGGGCATGACATTGATGACTGATGGGGACTTTGCACTTGCTCTCTACTCCTGCCACTAAGGTAATGGAGGGAGTCTTGCCCACATCTTCTTGGTAGGTGGTGTGTTGTGTTTGATTCTTGTGTCTTGGAGTCCATGCACCCTAGTCAGGTTTAATTAGTAGAAGATTTTAGATCAATCTAATTGTTTAGATTTTGATTCTGTACTGAGTGATGACAGGCTGCTTTAAAAGCAGGGAATGTTGATTACTGAAGCACCAATCACTAAGTATTGGTTAGCGAATGTGTGTGTGATCCAAACAGTGTCACATCAGACCTGGAGTGGAGCTCTGAGCACTGGGATGTTTCCAGTTAGAAATGAGTCAGGGGCTGAAGTGATGACATTTGTAGAGAGATCTGGGCTGGAGATACCTAGGCACTCACCCAGCTCACACATGGTCCCTCTCGCTCTGGGAGTTCCAGTGGACGAAGTTCACTTGGGCTCTTGGTGACCTCCTGGTCTTGTTGGGGCCTGGAAAGGAGCTCCTCAGTGGTGGCCAGTGTCAGTGCAGCAGAGCCCTTTGTCATGAGGCAGGTGTTGAGTTGGTTCCAGCGGTGTGCTGGGATGGGTGGTGTGGAGCAGTGCTCTGTCCCTGCACTGTGGGCACCTCCCTCTGTGTGGCTGTGCCGCCTGCCCTGCCTGCCCCTGAGTGCAGAGGGTGTGTGTTGATGTACACGGCCTGTCACAGCCGGAGCAGGAAGTCTCAGGTGAAGACAATGACAGCACGGAGCACTGTTACCATGCCGCTCACGGAGGATCTCTTCTCTACATTCCAGGTTCGGAACCTCACTTACATGGTGACCCGCAGGGAAAAGATTAAGCGGACTGTGTGCAAAGTCCAGGAGCAGATATTCAATCTTTACACTAAGCTCTTGGAGCAAGAAAGAGTTTCAGGTATGCATTAAGTCCTTTTAGGTCCCAATGTAGGGCAGGGGACTAAGCTGAGAGGCTCACACCACCATGAAGGGAAAAATAATTTGTTCTTTAATGTTCTTGTATCTGTCTTACAGAAACATTTAAGAAGCACCAACTTTTCTAAAGAAAACTTAAGGCATTAGAGACCCACATGACATGAAATTTGGTCCAAACAGGGATCGAGTCCTGTCTTCTTTGCTTATGCACCAGACATAAGCGAGTCTCTTAAGTCTTAATTTTCTCTCCAGTATCCTCTTATGTAGGGTGGGGAGACACTGCAGACTACCTCTTGAAACTGTTGTGAGACTCAGTGACATGTGTTGATAAATGTATCATGGAGAGCCTCACAGATTACAGATGATCAGGCCTTTGGATCCACTTAGAACACTGACTTAAAGACTAAGTTAATTGCTCTGGGCAGGCGAGAAGGAAAAAGAAAAAGAAACCCACTGTGACATACACATGCACACTTCCCGCGTTCGGGAGAGCTCTCCAGTTACTTGGAGACCAAGTGCCAAGTTGGGCAAGTTACTTAATCTGTCCAGAAGTCCTTTCATCTTTAGAAGAGTAATGGTATAGTCACGACCTTGGGAAAAAAATGTCTTTTGGCACCAACATTCTGTGATCTCAAGCCCCCAAAAGTAGGCAGCATAAGGAGTGGAAGAGAACTCTAAGCAAGGGCTCAGTGTGCAGGCTGCGGCCTCCAGTGGGAGAGAGGGCGACTCAGCTATGGACGACCCTTGAAAGGGAGCACCGCACTGGGGAGTCATGGTTGATTCGCTCACTGTTCTTCATTTGTGACTTTCTGTCTCTGCATCTAGATTACTGTGACACAAAGAAGCAACAAAGAAGTTGTTACAACCTGTTAATGTTGAAATGCAGACTCTGGGGTGTAACTAACTAGACCCCTGTGACTTGAGGTCACCTGGTCAGCTGAGCAAATGGGCAAAGGCAGAGGGAGCGGTTCGTGATATTCTTGAAGTGCGACATGGTTTTAGGGGCATTACCTTTCTGATACTGTTAGAGCTATTTTCTTGCCATGATTAAATATTTCCCAGATGTATCCAGAGTATATTGTTATCTGGAGCTTGGAATTTCGCTGCAAACCTTTTTTTTTTGTGGTACTGGGATTTGAACTCGGGGCTTCGTGCTTGCAAAGAAGGTACCTCCAGTCCATTTTGCTCTGGTTACTTTGGGGGTGGGGGTCTCAAATCTTGAGCCTCCCAATTTCAGCCTCCCACTTAGCTTGCAGGCACTGCAGTGACAAGGCACCCTCTTCCTGTGGGATGCTTGGGGGATGCCCTCAACCCTCCAGGTCTGGACTTTGATGCCTAACATCAGTCTGCTTTGCAAGACTGCAACTGGGATGACCATGGCTTATGTGTCCTTCAGGGCCCTGGTTCAGACTCCGGTGTGTAATTCTGATAGTGGGACCAGTGCTTATAGGGAGCTGGAGTCAGTGCTTTTCAGAGATGTGGGTTCCCATTCAGTAGACAAGAAGTCAGACTTGAGGAGACCCAGTCTGACTTTACCTTCCGCATGGTAGGTGATTCAGTGCGGCCTCCCTGATTGTGGTCACAGCAGTTCTGCTTGCCTTCGTGTGTGCTCCTGTCTCGTACTGGGGGCTGAACCTTGTTTTTCTGTTGGCTCACACCCTGTGGGAGACAGAAAACACAGGATTGCTCCTGGTGGATGGGCTTGGGCTCTTGCAGAAACATGGTCCTGGTGGATCCTGGTGTGCTGTGAACTCACAAGTATTTCCAGACATTCGTGGTTGTGAGGGTATGACCAACACAAAACAAGTGCGACATCCCAGGGAAATGTCAGAGTTCACGTCAGGCGATGAGCGTTGGTGTTATTTCATGCAACATGAGCCTGTACTGGGTTATGCTGTGACATTTAGTTCTGTGATTTGCATTAAAAAAGACCAACTGAACTTACGCTCAACTTGGATGCCAGTTCAGTTGGATCCACAAATGTATTTTCTATACATACAGTGATGGTGAACATTGTTCTGAACACTTAGCTATGTGTCAAGAACTGTTTCAACACTTTTCTTGATTCCTTTCACATATTTGCTGTGCAAGGGAATAGGTATTTTGGAGATGGACTTAGCATCACAGTCCTTGTCCTCCCAGTCCCACAGGAAGTCAGATGGCGGACGGGTGAATGTGGTGCCCCGTGTGGTTGCTGCTCTGTACCAGGTGGAGGAGACGAGATCTCCTTTGAAAATTGGACCAGTTATTTTGTTTACAGGAAAATGTAGTTCTTCACAGAAATTCTCTGAATTTTCAGTTGTTTTAGAAAAGTGTAGCTGAGGTCCAGACTGAGGCGGGTTCTCGTGGGTCACGTCCTTGCCTGTGGAAACCAGGCTCTGCAGGCCAGGTGGAGGTTTGCACAGGCTGGGCGAGGCGAGGCGCAGAGTGTGGGTTCGTTTAGATTAGTTCTGCTGTAATCTTCCTGTGGTTTCTGTTCGCAGGTGTGCCTTCTTCCTGCTCCTCCTCCTCTCTGGACAGCATGCTTATGTTCAACAGTCTGTCCGTGGGCCCCGGCGCTCCCCAGATCGAGGACCTGAAGTGGCACTCTGCGTTCTTCAGGAAGCGGATGGGGGCTTCCCTAGTTCACTCGCTCAAGAAGCCCCCTAAGCGGGTCCCAGGGCAGAGCAGCGCTGGCCGTGAGGGCAAGGCCCTGCCGAAGCAGCCAGACCTGTGTGGAGGGAGGGAGGGGCTGGCTGTCCAAGAGAGCTTTCTGAGTTTCGAGAAGACCTTTGCGGAAGCCCGCCTCCTGTCATCAGCACAACAGAAAAATGGGGTGGTGACACCAGACCATGGGAAAAGAAGAGACGGTCGTTTTCATTGTGATCTCATTAAAGGAGACTTGAAGGACAAGCCTTTTAAACAGAGTCACAAGCCTCTCAGGTCCACAGATGTGTCCCAGAGGCACCCAGACACAAGAGCTGCCACCTCCCCTGGACTGGGGCAGTCAGCACCTGGTACCAGGAGGGAGACCGTGCCCAAGTGCAATGGCTGCCTAATCAAAGTGAGCGGTCACCAGCCTGCAGCCAAAGTGCCTACCACACCTGCCAGCCCGGCAAAGAACTGGGGCGGATTCCGGATTCCAAAGAAGGGGGAGCGGCCGCCACAGGGAGAGGCCCGGCAGGGACCCTGCCACCAGCACGCAGACTACCCATACCTAGGTTTGGGCCGAGTGCCAGCCAAGGAAAGGGCCAAAAGCAAATTACAAACCGACAATGAGAATGACGGGTATGTCCCCGATGCAGAAATGAGTGACTCGGAGAGCGAGGCGTCAGAAAAGAAATGCATGCACTCCAGCAGCAGCCTGGGCGGGAGGACCGAGATCATCAGGAGAGGTATCCTGGCCTCCTGACGGCCACGCAGGAATCGGGTTCCTGGGCCACGCACGCACTTGCAATTCAGATTGCATTTGTCACTTATAAGTCATTGTGAGGAGTTTGTGTTAGTGGCAGCTTGCTGAGGAAACAGAACAGTAGTAGACACTGCTAAGATTAGAACCTGAGCTAAACACTACAAGGGTGAGTTACACACATTGGAAGAGGGCAAGGCTGAGTAAGCCTTGTGAGTTTTTACTGCCCTCTGCATTCTTCCCAAAGCACAAACTCTTGGTTACCTGAATATACAGAATCAAATTCAGTTCTGTAGAACAAATTCATGCCATTTACAGCCCACAAAGTTTGTGTTCTAGGACTCTAGATGTTGAAATCACTTGGCCCACAGGCTAGTCTTGTTGCGTTACTGGTGTGTAGGCAGCAGCTCCCAGCCTCGGTGGCACTAGGGGATTGTGTGTGCACAGCGCCAGGAGAAAGGCCATGGGGCTGAGTTGCTGTGGCTTGGAGTCAGGGTAGATGCTGCAGGGCTGCTGGCGCTAGAAGCCCACAAGTGGCAACTGCTGGCGGGGACTGAACCTTGAACAAAATCCTAGCTCTTAGAAAGGTCCAGTTTTTGCCAGTCCTGACCTTCCCCGACCACAGGCTCTTGGGCCAGCTTGGGAGGCCATCTGCCTCCAGCAGAGCAGCAGCTGCTCGAGTTCAAGCGATGAACTTGAGACTCTGGTGACATATACTTCCCAGAGCCGTCACAGTGCACATGTTGGGGAATCCGGGCCTCCGCCACCAACGGATTCCTTAAGAAAAAATCAGGGGAGGGGGAGAAAAGAGGAGAACCGTGGACTAGCTATATTTTAAAAGCAGTAGCAAGGCAATAAGTTGTGATAGGCTCTTACCATTGACTGGGGTCACACAGGAACGAGGTCGAAGCCGCTCCCTCGCAGAGGATTTCTGGAGGCAGGGTTGAGAACTCTGTTTCGTCACTTGGACTTTCTAATCGCAAATGGCAATAACGAGTAAGTTATCAGCAATAATAAATTTAGCATTAAATTTGAGTACAATGTTCTGTTTTGCACTCGCTGCAGTGCACATGGATTCAGACAGTGCTGGTGTTCAGGTCCTGTTAATTTTCTTTGGAATTCATTGTAGTTGTGAATCAAACTTAAGAGCAGGAGAGTGCAAATAGCGAGATTTGGAATGATGGGCGCTTGACAGAAGCCCAGCTTCCCCTAAATCACCCTTAGTTCACTGTCAACTCAGATTCCCGATTCATTCCACGTTTCCACGTGGCAGGGACGTCCTGATGCGAGTGAGTGCTGAGTTCTGTGTTCACGTCAAGTCTTCCGGACGACTGTCCACAACAGAAAAGGACCATCTCGCTATGCAAGTGTTCTCAGATGACCCACTAGTTGACCTGATGACGCATCCCCGCTGTCGGTGTGACACTTCCAGACCAAGTCTGAACTTTTCCAAGTACATTGATGTAGCCAATTCAGGGGAGGGAAAGAATGACCAGGTTATTTTTGAGCTGTGGGGCTCATTTTGAAAGACTGCTATCCAGATAGCTTGTTGCTACAGATACTAGAAGGTTCTTAGGAATCCAAGTTGTACATTTGCTCATAACTTAAAAAGTAGATTATTTGCATTTGAGCAAAAACCTTTTGCTGGGTACAGGAGAAGGTTAAACTCTAGGTACAGTTAGCTTTTTATTACAGCAACAGCACTGGGTGAGAGTAGAATTTAGAGGGATAATCTGTGAAGCCATAGAAAGAAAATCTAAAGTAATGAGTCCATGGCCTCTCACCGTTTTTAAGAGGTACCAGATTCATTTGCACTATTAGGAATGCTAGTTTTGTGCAAAAAACAATGCCTTACCTATTTTTCCCCCACATTTAGGTTGAAAAGCTTTCAGATGTTCCAAGTTATGCTGAACCAAAAACCAAACCAAAACAAAACAAAACAAAAAAATAAAAACCCATACAAAAGAAAACACACGAAAATACAATGCCCACTTTTCAGTCCTGCTTCAGAGTGCAAACGGTACAGAGAGGCTTCTCTGGGTGTGACGAGAGCTTTGCAAGTCAGCACCTGTCACGCTGGGGACTCTGGGAGGTGGCCTGGCTGCCCCTGCATTCTTTTAACTAGGGAACCATTTGCTTTTCTGTTTTGTTTTTAAATCTTTCCTTGTGCATCCTGACCAAGAAATATGTCAAAACGTAGGCTAGTTAAACTTTTTGTAAAGTTGCCTGGAATGTCATTTGTTAGGTTATAACACAAGAGCTAAATGAAGGTTTTATGTGTTGTGTGCAAATCCTGATTATTTCAAAATGGACAGACTTGTCATTACATTTGTAACCTTGTACAGAGGATTTTTCACTATGTGCCTAGCTTGGTGTCCATTCAGCGAAAATTGAGGAAAAAAAAAGGTGCATGAAGAGTTACAAATCAGAAGTTAAACAAAGAATATGTAGAGATGACTATTTTATATTACATGGCCCAATCCTGTATTTATTTCTACCCCGTTTTGAAAGTATTTATAAACTAGTTGAGGACAGCTGTATTTTTTTTTGTTGAACTATTTAGTAGAATTTGTGCCTTTTTGTCTGTATGTGAATAAATGCTGTACATTTTGCAGTACATCTGGAAGTCTCCTGCCTTTCTGAATATGTGAGGCCTGTGCACCTCCATCCTGCATCTTCCCATCCCAGCAGGAGTGGATTGGGGGGTGAGTGGCTGGTGAGGTGTGGGTGCATCATGTCCGGTGCTAACGGCGCCTGCAAGATGCTGGACCTTCGTCTGCACTAGCGATGCTTTCCAGGACGTTCCACTGCTGAAGCACCAGCGGCTTGGGGATCAGAGAGGCCTGAGGCTGAATATAGTTTACCAGTCACGTGACCTTGGCTAGGTCACTTTAACCTTACGAGCCTGTTTGCCATCTGTTGGTCTTACTGGTGACATTTAAACAAAGGCTCTCATAGCACAGGTAGTGGACGAGGTGTGGCTGAAGTGGTAGAACGTCTGCTTTGCAAGTGTGAAGCTAAGTGCAAGCCCCAGTCCACCAAAAAAAAAAAAAAAAAAAAAAAAGTGGCTACAGAGCAGTGGTTCATGCCTGTAACCCCAGGTACTCAGGAGGCAGAGCTCGGGAGGATCATGGTTTGAAGGGATAAAATAATTGGAGAGAACCCATCTCAACCAGTAAGTTGTGTGTGGTGGTGCGCATCTGTCACCCCAGCTATGCAAGACGAGTAAACAGTAGGTCCAGGGTCCAGGGAAAACTCAGCTGTCTGGAAAATAGCCAAAACGCAAAGGGCTGGGGCGTGGCTCAAGTGGTAGAGTGCCTGCCTGGCAAGCGTGAGGCCCCAAGTTCAACCCCCAGGATGGCTCCCCACAGCAGAAGGCTGTATTTTCTATCAATCAGTAGGAACAAGACACTGATTTTTTTAAACAGCATTTTACCCGCTAAGACTTCTGAGGCAAGAAATATCTTCCTGAGTGGCAGCAAGGTCCTCTATGAAATGCTCTCCGTGTGTTCCTCGGCCCACCGCACACACTGGCACCCGGGGCAGTAAGGGGGGGTTGTCCACACCAGATCGGGGTCTCCCTGCGGCAGGACACTCCTTCCTTAGCTGTACGCTGAGCCAGCGGGAGTCTAGCGCAGCGCTCACTGCCGTGCCGTGCAGAGTGAGGGTCCAGAGCCGCTTAGAGCTCTTCCAAAACACTGGGCAGTGTGTCTTAACAGGAATTGCTAAATCTTGTCCACTTCTCCCCCTTCTCTTATGCTGTTCTCGGGCTTGCGCTGAGTAAGAGCCCAGAGGGAAATGACTGTCACTAAATGGTCCTGAAACTCAGTAACCATAGCCCTTTCCCGGGGAACTCAGTCTCCAGGAGCCCATGGCAGGGCCTAGCATCAGCTGGCAGTTCTGCGGCCCGACAGGAAATGGGGCCCCAGGAGCCTGTGTTCACGTTTTTACCCAAATCAACCAGAACACGGGTTTTGCCTTTGAAACATTAGCCACCTGCAGCAAACTCCACCATTGACTTCAAGGCCGAGGCTCTTCAGGTGGTGTCTGCTCCACTGCACGGGGGGCTGTGTTCCCTTCTAGTCCGGGGAGGCTCCTGGTGGCCCGGTCACCAGAGGGGAGCACCTGAGCGGGAGTAGCTGGGTGTCCACTGGTCTCCAGTCCGCACTGCTGAGTCTTCTTACGGGCATTTCTTTGTGGCCATATCGACACTTGCCTTGGACTGATTGCTTTTCTGTGGCCTGTTTGAGAGAGTGCCGCCCTGCCTGCACACAGGGAGCACTCCTTGGTGGCCAGCCTGGTTTGTCCTTGGTGTCACCCCAGGCTTTGCGCTTCTCTTGGTCCCACTGCCACTTGCCATGCAGGGGTCGGAGCTTTTCACTTCTTGCAGCAGCCTCTTGTAGACTTCCTTGATTCAAGTTGTGGTGGAGTCCAGCCCCCTTCCCTAGCCAGCCACAACCTCCCTGTGGCCCCTGAAGCACACAGTGCTCTGGGGACCTTCCTGACATGGCATTTAAAAGGGCCTATCAAGTGCTGGCCCTGGGCTGTATTTTACTTTGTTCGATCCTGAAAACATGCGACGCAGGTACAGTTACCTCCAGTTTACAGGTGAGGAAAACTGAGGCACAGGGACCTTAAGCAATTTGCCCATCAGTCGGGTGCTACAGAAGTCCACATGTGGAGGTCAGAAGACACGACAATGCCAAGCTCTGCCTGTGAACTTTATTTCAGTGGATTCTACCCAGGAGAGCTAGCAATCCTAGCTCAGAACATCAAGCATGGTGGAAGACTGAACAGAGAGGAGCAGTCTGCCATGCGTGGCCCCTGCCTTGTTCTTGGGAGAATGGAATTCATTTCATCACCTATTACACAGCTACAGGTAAAATATACTATAATGAGAGAAAAGTTCGTATCGGGCTCAGAGAATAACTTAATTCTCTGCATCCTAAGCCAAGGCTTGGACAGTTTGAGCTTGGTGATGACGAACCTGAAATTACGATTAATGCCAAAACTTTGAACTGAAGCTATGCAAAACCTCTAAGTCAGTATTTTGTGACATAAGGTATAATGAATGCAGTTACCAATAAATAAGCAATGCCACCGGCCTGGTGGTGCTTGTCTATAACGCAGCACTTGGGAGGCTGAGGTACAGAATCACAAGTTCCAGGCCGTCCTGTGCTACACAGTGAGACCATGTCTCAAAAAACTAAAAACCAAAACCAATCAACTAACAACCCCCTTCCCTTCCCCCACAACAAAAATATGCCAAATTAAGTAGCCAAGACAAAAGAAAAACAGTCCTGATGTTCAGACTGCCGCCGGGTTTACACCTTTCCCGCTTCACCCACTCACCTGACTGCTGCTTTAACTTCAGGGCCATCACCAGTGTAAGGCCAGTCTTGGGTTTCCCTTTTTCACAGCAGGGCAGTCACAAGGCCAGGGCTCCTCTTTCTCATCGACTTCAGCTCTGCTGCAGCCTCAGTCTGAGTCATGGAGCTCATTTTGGTATCTTCACCTTAACAGGGCATGTAAACACCTTCCCGACACCATTCTTTAAAATAGTACGCTCGTTAGGTAATGGTGGCTCAGGCCTGTAATCCCAGCTACTTGGGAAGCAGAGATCAGGAGGATCGAGTTTTGGAGCTAGCGTGGGCAAACAGTTCATGAGACCCTATTTTGAAAAAAAAACCATCACAAAAAAAGGTCTGGTAGAGTGGCTCAAGGTGTAGGCCCCAAGTCCAAACCTAGTGCTGCAAAAAACAAAAAACCCAAACTCCCCATGATGCTCACTTTGATTAAGGAAATCATGTATTATATCAAGTGCTTCACAATTGCTAACCGCAATCTACCTCCTGTTAACAATTTTTAGGTGGATTAACACTGGCTACACTGTGTCATTCAAATAGCTGTGCATTACAACGCCCTTTGCTTAGAAAAGTACTGTCCTCTACTACTTAAATTTAGGGTATGGTCACTTTTCTTGGTTTGGAAAAATTACCAAATAAATCCTGCTAGACATGAAAATACTTTTTCTAGGAGTCCTAGCTGTATGTATAATTTGACAGTCAAAAGGGCTTTTCCTTTAAGGTCAGACTCAGGGAAAAAAACAGAACAAAACAAAACCCAACAAAACCAAAAGGCTTATAGCTGAGCCAGGCACGGTTGATGAATGATAAAGAGGAGGTGGAGTTTTTCAGATCCTACTTTGCACCTGTAGTTCCCATCAAGAGCAGAGACCATCACCTGAGGGGCAGAGTGGACACAGTGAGGTCACAGGTCTACAAGACCCAGCTGTCATTGAGATCACATCCCGGCTGGGTGCGCAGAGGACGCTCCTGCCAGGCATCTGTCCGCAAAGCGTGGGCGATTCTGTGGACTGAGGACAAGGTGGGCGGCAGAAGGAACAGTGCCCAGACCTGCTGCGCCCTGCGGCAGGCGTGGAGAGGAGATGGCGATGCCTGGCGGGTGCTGTGGAGCAAATGCAAGAAGACACGCGATGTCCAGCACCTGACGTTCTCAACAGAGCGTCACAATTGCCACAGGTCCAGGGGTTCACCAGTGGATGTGGGTATCTGCAAAAATGTGACAATGACTCCACTCATCCTCTGGAGTTTCTATGAAAGGGTGTTCTAGCCTCATGGTTTTTGTCCTTGGAGACTTTAATGCTATGCTTTTTTTGACTGTACTGGGGTTTGAACTCAAGGCCTGTACCTTGAGCCACTCCACCAGTCCTTTTCTGTGATGGGTGTTTTCAGGACAGGCTCTCTGGAACTATTTGCTCAGGCTGACTTCAAACCACGATTCTCTTGATCTCTGCCTCCTGAGTAGCCAGGATTATAGGTGTGAGCCACCGGTGCCCAGCTTACAATTTTTTGATTCATTGATCAAGGTCTGTGCTGCTACTTAATGAAAATATAAAATAAAGTTTTCCACGACATGTTATTACAGGAAAGAAAGGACTTCAGTAAACACAAAAGGAACATGCAGTGAGTATGAGGTTGCTAGCAATCTTCCCAGAACAGGATTCCTGGATTTGATCTGAGACACCTGTGATGCATACAGAAGGCCGAGTCTTTGCCGACGTTCTCAGAATTGGCTACAAGCAGCAACATGGCCAGACTGACAACAGTCTAAATGACCACAGCTCCTCATCTTTTCAACAACTTGCATGAATGTTCGAAGTAGCATGCTTGTTAAAACTGTGGACGGCATGCACTATAGGTCAAAAATGGTCCTGAGTGAGAAACAGTAGGAAGAAAAATAACAGACATGGTCCCTAAACTCAGAGCTGACAAACAGGATCACACACTCGGGTTACAGTGTGTGCTGCCTCCTGGGCAAACTTGGCTTAGCAACAGAACCTCTGAGGAAGATTGGTGCTGGCTGACGACGTGCTCAGCATCTGCCAGCGTGATTTAACGTCAAAAAAAATAAGTAAAAAAGGTGACAATCTTACGTACACCAATGGAGGCAGAGACTCCAGAATAACCTCATCCTACACACCACAAGTCTTTAGCCACTGTGACTTTCAAAGCGAGCTTTCAAAGAATGTCAGATCGTCTTGAGGTGGACAAAGGGAAAGGGACCCGTTTGGAGCCATATCCATTGCCTGGAGAGTCTAATAAACTGTTCTCCAATTCTTAGCCAAGCATCATTTACCCTCTTCCCACCCCTGCCAGGATCTAGAATGAGACCATTACCAGTTTACATCTCAAGTAAGCTTTGTTTTGGGGTCAGGGGTGTGTCCTAGGCACACTTGGTGTACTTAGTGCCCAGTCAGTGCTTTCTGACCGAATGAGTGAAGAAGGACGTCTGCAAGTCGGAGTTAACTCTGACAGGTTGGCACGAGGTTCACCGGGAAACCAAGTCCTTTGGGAAAATGGGGAACATCACTCAGGTTGAGCCCTGGCGTGTGGAAGGCCCTTTAGACTGCTTCTGTGGTGCCAGGAGGGCCAAGGCAGGTGGACAGGTCTGGTTCACAGTACAGTAAGAAAGAGCTTTCTGATGGGAACAGCTGATTGAAGGACCAGGCTCCTCATGGGAAGTGAGTAGGTGCCTCGGTGGGTGTCAACAGCTGATCTGTTCCTGGAAGCAAAGTGCTGCACTTTGAAGAAATGTATTAACATGAACCAGTGAGAGTTTGTAAGCCTCAAGGCTGCCAGTCGGGATTTCAGATCCAGAGACCATGGCCCTGGCGGGAGGGAGGCAGGTGTCACTGAGAGTAACTGAAATGAGATCGCTGACAGCTCTGATTGCGTGAACCTCTCCGAGTTCCTCCTCTGTGGCTTCTAGGCCTGTGGTTTTGAGAAGCCCTCTGCCGTCCAGCTGCAAGTCCTTCCTTGCGTCAGGGTAATGGATCCATTGCCCAAGCCCAACCTGGGCCCGGGAAACCAGCCACGTGTGCACTATCGATTCTGTAGCAGACCGAGTTAGATCTGAAGTTTACCTAGGCCTTGGGCCTGGCAACCACTAGAGTTAGCTCGGCAGATACAGAAGGAAAGCATGAGGGCCTCCTGCCAGGCCTGCACTGGGGACACCAGTGTGCATGCAGAGGTGCAGGACCTGCCGGCGGAAGCTCCCACATCCTGGTGGGTACCCCTGGTTGCACATTTGATTAGTGTAGCTGGAGACACCCGTCTCCCAAATACATCAAGATGTTTGTGCTGACGAGGATGATGAAATACTAGGTGTGGATTTGAGGATCAGATACTCCAGAGCTCAGGTGGTTTACTGTCGGCCACAACTCTTTCCTATGTGCCTGAGGTGGTCAAGAAATTCATGAGGGAGAGTTGACCCTGGAGGGCACCTGCCAGTTCTACATCAGTGTGCAAAAGGAGTGGAAGTGGGAGATGCTGTGTGACCCAGGCGGTTACCTTCACCAACATCCAAAGGAAGGAAGGCTGGTAGGCTCACTGTGAAGATCATCCCCAATCTCCACAAATGGAGACGCAAGGGAGTCACAGTCCAGCTCTGGCACACACTGATCCTCAGAGGCCTCGGGCTGCTTTAGTCAGCAGCCATGACTTTCACACCAGCAGGAAAACTACAGCCCTAGAATTGGTCCTGGTGGTTGTTTTGGTCACAGAGATGTGGTTATAAACATGGTAATAGAAGATGGGACTTTCACAGAACCCGAAACCTCAGAACCCCCAGTGAGTGCTCCAATGACACTGGACGTCTGAGAGGAGCTGCTACCTGGTCCCGGTCAGGAGGCAGTCGTGGGGGCTGAGGAGCAGCCTGAATGGAGGGAAGGGAGCCCAGGGATGGACATCTTGTCTTTTCTGTCTTTCTGTTTCTTTGAATAAATATTACTTTTGAGGCAAAAGAAAAAAAAAATCTATGAGAGCAGATTGAGAACTTATGAGAACCAGGCTCAGTTCCTGCTTCTGTCCTTGCTTGTTTACACTGCATGGAAGATACGAGTGGGGTGCAGTGCGCACACAGGACCAGTGGGAGGGGGGAGGACCGAATGGGAGGGGGGCACCTGTGTGAGGTGGTGACACCTGTGGGAACAGGGAGTACTTGTATGAGGGGGGCACCTGTATGAGGGGGGCACCTTTGGGAAGGGACTCGTGCACATGCTGTGCTGGATTCTTGGCTGGATGGTGCTGGTGTTGTAAAGAATTACTTTCAAGACACTTTCCCATCATAAAACTTTGGTTGTCCAAACATATACACATTTACTTTTCTTTCTTATGTAAATACTAGGAGCACCAATTATCTCCACAAGAGTTACACATTTTACTAAGTTTTAAGGGCTGGTGAGGGACAGAGTCCATATGTAACCTCAGGATTCTGTAGTCACTGTCTCTGTCTACAGATCCATATGTGTATGTACAGTTTTAGTTAAAGTAAACAAAGTTTTTGATAAAAATTTTTGCAAAAAAGCTCACCACAGATTTGCTATTTTGGAGAAAGTGACAAAACACATTATGCCCAGTGTTTTCCACCATTTTGTGTGCGAGTTGCTATGGCAAGATGGTGCAGCAATGGCACCGTCCTTCCATGGGGGAGGGGTCACGAGATGACTCTGGGGTCTGCATGTTTGCATGCAAAGGAGAAAAAGAAATCATAGCTCCTTTCTGCCTCAGGGAGACACAACAAAGAAGCTGAAAAAAATAAGATGAACGTGGCTTCATCCCCAGTTTCTGAGTTATATAATTTGTATTTCCTACTCCTTTCCTCTGTCTCCTAAAACACAGTCCACAGAATAAATAATGCCTTTGCAAATGAAGACTGACCAATGAGAGATGTTAAAAACTCCACTTCATTTTTACATAGGAAATTATTAACTGAAGAACTTTTCTGAAAGAAACCCCCCACCACTTTCAATTCTGTTGCTAAACGTGGCTTAAGTTCAAATGCAGAGGTCAGAAAGTTCTGAACTTTGCCTGTCTTCCTGGATAGTCGTGAGCACGCCAGGGAGCCAGCTGCAGAGGAGGTTATGAACGTAACAGTGCAGGGAGGGCTGTGTCCACCTGACAACGAAGTCATCTGTGCCACCCTGTCCTTGAGAACTCAGCTCACAAACAATTACTGAACGCCTCAGTGCTCCAGGAACCAGGGTATACTGAGGGATGAGCAAATGTGAGCCTGCTCTCAGGGAGCTTACAGTCTGTGGGGGGTTGGAAAAGACTTCAAAAAGAGTTAATTACAAATTCTTTCAAGTACTAGGAAGGAAAAATAGAGCACACTATTAAGAGCATTCTGCCACAGGGACTGAACCTAGCCTCGAGGCCAGGGAAGGCTCTACTGGGGAAGTGATGTCTGACTACAGATCTGAAGAAGGCATAAAGGGTAAAGAGTATCAGAGACTTGGCTGGGGAGGGAGGACGGTTCAGTGATGGAAGTAAAAGGTGCCACCAAGCCTACAGCATAGGAACTGGAGGAGAGTGGCCTGAGAAAAGGCTGAAGAGGTGGCCCCTCCTTCTGAGGCCAAGGATCCCAGCAACATCTGGCTTTGTTAGCAGCAGTCCTGAGCTCTTAACGATGGATGTTTCTGGGTCACTCCAACTCACACTCACTAGCTGCTCATCGGGAAAACAGCAGCCTGCTCTAGTCACTAGAAGCCAGAAGAGAATAACTTACACGGATGTGCAAACACCCACAGGACTACAATGCCTTAGAGCTATGAATTCATAGGATCGAAGCTCTCTATTTGATCAGAACTCAGCAATATTAAAAAACTTGCAAACTCCTAAGTTCTATAAATAATTCCAAGCTGTAAGTCAGAAAGAAGTCCTGTGACTACCCACTGAAGTAAATGACAGCACCATTTGGAAAGTGTGTAATTTATTACATTTGAGTTCAGAGGAAAACTAATTCTTAGTGACTTTGGAAATGAGTTAGGAGTAACAATTAGATATAAACCCCCAAATCCTGGAACCTGAAATACTAAATTTTAGAATTTTCTTAAACCTCTCTCATGACTAGTGTAGTTTGAAAGGGAAGAAGACACACTAGTGACGGCAGGGGCTCGTCCCAGCTGGCTTCATTCTCCACGGAAGCTCAGGTATGGCTGGCTTTCTACTTACAGGAAGTTGCCAGAGTTTTGTTCCCCGTGGCCCTCCTAACAGAATGGAACATGCCTTGTAAAGCAACACCAGTGTGGCTGCTCTCTGCACTTGGCCACGTCAATCCTTCTGGTCCATCAGCTTCCCAACTCTGAATCATGGGTGTTCTTAAATAGTCTCCAGATTCACCAAGGAGGCTGCTTTTCTTCTCTGCACCGTAATCACACTGAGCTGCAGCAGAACAAACAAGGAAAAAGTAGTGACATACCTCACGGCAAACCTCAGACCCACAGGCACTGAAAATAATCTTGATGGAAAGAATCTCCAAGTTGGCAATGTGCTCATTTCTGCCTTAACCAGATTCTCAAGTGCCTGGGCCACGTTGGAGAAACCGTGTCCACGATGACGTCCCACAGCTCAGAGGAACACTCTGAATTCCCAAACACATTACACAGATGGGTGAAAAACATCTCGATAGAAGGTAATTTGAAAGGTGGAAAAAAGTAAATCCGAGCAGATATAATGCAGGCTCCATAATAAAAAGAAGATAGAGTCTTCTCTTCAGATATAATCACTATTTTTAGTTTTTTGGTTTGTTTGCTTTGATTTTTTTGACATGGTCTTATGGTGAAGTCCAGGTTGGTCTTGAACTCATGATCCTGCTGCCTTACCCTTGGGAGGCTGATGATTACAGGCATGTGCCACCCTGCTTGGCTGTTTCCAGTGTTTCTGGAAATATTCTAAATGAAAATATATGTATCTAAATACATGTGTAGAAAGGCTTCAGCAGACATACTTAAAAACGGTCTTACTGTGCAAAGAACATGGTGCAACACTCTGGCGATGTGCAGAGCTGTGGTTAAGAATGGGTGGAGAAGTGCGGGTAGAATTAACACGACAGTGCTCCAGGGCAGCAGCGTGAAGCCGGGTTAGAGACAGGAATGACTGAACTCCCGTCATCTCAGCAAACGTGAAGGCCTAGTAGGGTATTGTTTCTAACAGCAAGTCCAGGTTTTAGAAGAAAGTGGGGGGATTGGATAGGACTCAGAAGGCAGAGAGAGAGAGAGATGAAAAAAATGAATGCAGGTCTTGTGAAGGGAATTTACCACTTGGTCTCATTCATAATTTTCTCCTGCATCGACTAGATTCAGAATCAAAGTTCTGTTCCCTTTCTGCTGTGTAGCTCAAGGTGGGGGTTTTCGGTAGGTGTTGCAAAGCCAGTGTGCCAGCCAAGCACAAGGCTGCACCTGCAGCTCCTCACACTTGGGAAGCTGAGGCAGGAGGACTGCTCGAGCCCAAGAGTTTGAGGCAACATGGTGAGCGATCCCATCCGAAGAGCTAAAGATGAAGCTCAGAGAACTACGAAAGAGAAATTTAATTCCCTTTAAGAAACAATTTACCAGACACTGAAGAATTTACAGGTGTTAATTCTTTTTATCCTTCAATAAGTGCACGAGGGAGGTGTCACTGAAGCTGAGAGAAGGTGAAACTGCTCAGTCACATGGCTACAATGACACCAGGCCATGATGTCACTGGTGGCTAAGAGTAATATTTGTTTTGATACAAACAGTACATTTATAACAAAATGTTAATTAATAATATGGGAACTTGTCTGTTTCTAGCCTGTAAAAGCACTGATTTCATCGGAGAGCACTCTGATCTCGAACTCCTGCTACAGGAACCACTGCTCGTGCTTTGAACAAATAGCCCTTTCATTGATGGTGTGTTTTGAGAAATGACTCCTCAGCATTTTACTGATGTTCTGCATTTTCTACTCCATTTGTTTGGAGGATCTAGAGTGCTTTGTTTAAACTAATTGTGTTAATTTCAATTTAAGTAGTCCTCTGGCTAGCTGCTTTCCTGATGGATGGCTGTCTAGGTGTAAGAGTCAACTGGAGGGTACTGAGTGTTGTAGTTCCTAAAGCTGGCCCTTTCAATCATAAGTGTTAAAGGGCTCATAGTAGATAGGCTTATCAAGTAAAATGAACCCTGGTTCTCTGGGACTTTTGAGAACCCTCCTTATCTTTGATCTGCTCAGACTTTCACTAGCTATAGATAATGGGGTGACCCACCTGCTGGGATGCAGAAGCAGCTCTCTCTTCTGCCTGGCTTAGTCTCCTTTGAAGTCTGTTGGCTTTTTCTTGATGCTCTTGAATTAACTTTTCATTCTATTAGTGGGAAATACAAAACAAACAAGTTAGAAATCCCATGTGAGGGCTGGGAGTATAGTTCAAGTGGTAGAGCTCCTGCCAGCAGGTATGAGACTGTGTGTTCAATCCCCAGTACCACACACACATGCATGCACACACAGAATCTCTATGAGATGTGGAGACCTTTTCATCACTTACAAAATAAAAAAGGCTGGTGGAGTAGCTCACTGCTAGAGCACCTACCTATCAAGCATGAGGCCCAGAGCTTACCCCCCAGTACTGACATGTAATGGGACTATGGAAATATAAACCCCTAGATCAAGATGATGCTCTTGGACCCAGAAATGGGTCTGAGCATCAAAGGGAGGAATGTGGCAGGAAGACAGGGAGGGGGAAGGGAGATTAATGAGTGCTACAGTGAAACAAAGAAAAAAAGAGTTAGGGAATATTACTGGAGACCAGAGGAGGGTCACCTCGCCCCATAGGTTAAAGCAGCCAATGAAATAACACGTGACTATGTACGGGACAAGCTGTACCCCTCCCCCATTTCTGTAACCTGCTCTAAATCATATGTAAGAAAGCCTCCTTTGCTCTCAGGGCTCAGCCTTTGGACACGAGTCTGCTGAGTTGCTGCTGGCTTGCTTAATAAACTTGCTTTCCGAAAGCTTTGGTGCCCCATCTGTCTGAGCCCTCTTGCAACATTTTCGGAGGCTCGCCTGGGCTTTGTAGGGCAGTATTTTCACCTCCTCGTCACTGGCTCATTGTCCCTGGCCCACCAGGAGGGCTGCCCCTGCCAGGCACCACCAGACCGTGTTGATCCAAGGGGAGGGAGCTCCTGTTCTGGTGAACCAAGGAGGCAAGATCTGGTTATAAAAAGTTGGGAACCAACTTGGGAGCCCCACTCATCAGACTGGTAAGAACCCAGGTTCAAATTCAGACCTGCCTCAGGAAGCAGAAGGGGAATCTGATCAACTCCCAGCAAAGACACCTGAGTAGCCCCCATTTGGGGGTGAAACTTCAGGTTCGGGTTCAGGGAGAGGGGTGGAGGTACTATGCTGTGTGAGTGTGTGGAAGTGCGAGCCTGGTTACGAAGTGAGTGCGAGTCTCAATCCGGGTGGCGAACTTATATGGTCTAGGGTGAACCCTAACAGGGCCTCTGGTCTGGGGCTTATACAGCTTCACTACAGCCAAGAGACACCTAAATCCCCGTAAGGTGTGCAGCTGGAGATGGACAAAGTGAAGCAAGTGGCATTTTTTCCTGTGTGCCGGAGAGGAGGACCCTTTATCTCCTCTCCACAGCCCTCAAACCTTCCATCTTTGTCTCTGTCTTGACGTCTGGCAAACAGGAGGAATGGGAGGAGGACAGAGTAAAATATCATGCTTAAGAACTTTAAGAGGGGATTTAATGGAGATTATGGGGTCAAGCTGACCCCTGGCAAGCTCAGGACCTTCTGTGAAATAGACTGGCCTGCTTTTGGTGTAGGATGGCCCTTGGAGGGGTCATTAGATAAGGGCATAATCAATAGTTTTTGAAGTGGTTGTAGGGGAGCCTGGACACCCAGATCAGTTTCCTCATATTGACTGCTGGCAGGATGTAGTCCTCAGTTGGCCCACATGGCTAAAGCCCTGCCTAGAGGAAACATGTAGGGTTATGGTAGACAGGGTGGCAGCAGCTTCAAAGTGCAGGGAAAAATGTAAAAAGCCAAAGAAACCCACATTAGTGGGGGGCCCCGAGGAGTCCCTGCTCCCTTGTGTGCCACTGCACAGATTACAGAGTTTCTAGGAGCTGCAGGTTTCTGTGGGATCTGGATCCCCAATTACTCTCTCAGCAAAACCCCTTTATGAAGCCACAAAGGGGAGAGAGCGGGAACCTATGATATGGGGAGAGGAGCAAGAAAAGGCCTTTAAAGAAATTAAGAGGGCACTCACAAACACTCCTGCTCTGGGCTTGCCAGATACGATAAAGCCCTTCTTCCTATATGTACATGAGAGACTGGGAGTTGTGGGAGTCTTGACCCAGCTGTTAGGTTACTGGCACCACCTGGTGACCTATTTATCAAAGCAACTTGATGCAGTTTCCCAAGGCTGGCCGCCCCCCACCTGTGCAGCCATGGCAGCCACTGCCTCTTGGTGGTTGAAGCAGACAAACTTACTTTGGGATAAGAACTCATAGTCCGAGTTCCCCACTCTGTTTTGACTGTCATGGAATATAAAGGAAATTACTGGTTAACAAACTCCCAAATGGTCAAATATCAAAGCATGTTATGTGAAAACTTGTGTGTCTGTATAGAGGTTGTTAAGACTCTAAATCCAGCCACCCTATTACTGGTTGATTCAGGCCCCTGGAGCATGACTTGTTAGAGGTTATGGATGAGGTGTTCTCCAGCCGGCCAGATTTGACCAACCAGCCCATTAGTCATCCGGACGTTGAGTATTTCATGGAGGGCAGCAGCTTTGCCTGGGAAGGCACACGTTTTGCTGGATTTGCAGTGGTGATGCTGGACACTGTCATTAAAGGACATCTGTTGCTCGTCGGGACCTCTGCACAGAAAGCTGAGCTCACTGCTCTCACGTGGGCACTCCAGCTTGCTGCAGGAGTGTGGGTAAACATCTATACAGACTCTAAATATGCCCTGACTACCATCCATGCCCATGGAGCCCTATATAAAGAAAGGGGGCTCATTAACTTGGGAGGAAAGTGTTAAATATGGACAAGGAATTCTAGAACTGCTAGAAGCTGTATGGACTCCTAAGCAAGTAGCCATGCACTGCTGAGGGCACCAGAAGAGGGAGACAACAGCTGTTTGGGAAAACCAAAAGGCTGATAGGAAGCCAAGTGAGCAGCCCTCACAGGACAAACCTCAGCCTCACTGACAGCTGCCTTGTTCCCGTGCCCCTTATCTGAATGGGATCCATGGTATACTTCACAAGAACAGGCTTGGTTTGAGACTGAAGGAGGAAATTTTCTACCGGATGGATGGTCGAAGTTTACTGATGGCTGCGCTGCCATACCTGAGTCACTGGCTCCCACATTTGCCAAGCAGTTCCATGAAGGAACTCACTCAGGGCAGACAGCTCTCAAGACCATCATGGCTCAGCATTTTTATGTCCCAAGTTCTCCAGCATAGGTAAGACAGCATGTTAAAGGTGCAGTCTGTGTGCCAAAACCAATCCCTGACAAGGGCCGAGATGTAAATATTTGCTGGTGTTTGTTTGCATCTTCTCAGGATGGCTGGAAGCCTTCTCTACTTGGACTGAGAAAGCTTGGGAAGTGGCCAGGTGCCTGTTAAAGGAATCATCCCTTGATTTAAAATACCTGTATCTACTGCATCAGACAATGGGCTGGCGTGGCTGAGGTGGTACAGCTGATGGCTAAGGGATTAGGAATAACTTGGAAGCTACACATGGCCTACTGTCCCCAGAGTTCAGGGAAAGTAAAATGTTTAAACAGGACTCTAAAATTGCTATTGGGAAAACTATGCCAGGAGACCCATCTACAATGGGACCAGTTACTGCCCACAGCCTTGCTCAGGATTAGGTCCAGCCCCACCAAATGGACAGGTTTCTCCCCTTTTGAAATTCTTTTTGGGGACCCACCCCTTTTCCTCAAAGGTCTGTGAGAGGACCTAAAAGAAATAGGTGACCTCACCCTGAGACAGCAGATACAGGCCCTAGTGTTGACTTACTCAAAAATCAACGACTGGGTAAGAGAGAGTCTCTCCATTAGTGTGACAACTCCCATGCACCTTATAAACCAGGGGATGCTGTTTGGGTAGAGGAATGGAATGCTCATCACTAAAGCCCCACTGGAGGGGCCCCTTTGTGGTTGTTTTGCCCACCCCCACCAAGTTAAGGTAGCAGAGCTCGTTCCCTGGATCCACCACAGCTAAGTGAAGCCAGTTTCCCCGGAATGAGAGTGCATCCCTGACCCAGCCTCACCGTGCAAGATCACCCTCCGGAATGCCGGTGCCCTTCCCCAGAAGGACCCTGGTTCCCAGGAGACAACAGAAGACCATGAACGATGAGATGTCAACCCTGCTCTAGTCATTCTGGAAGCTGAGTCTATGAATGGTGGAAGCTTGTGGAGTTGTCCACCTCACCTTTGAGTTGTTCTGTGTATTCTTCTTGCTAATCTTGGTCAGCTCTCTACCTGGGGACCCCCACGCCTTGGACTGTGACTCATGTATGCACATTACCCAAGCAGGGAGTGCTGTTACCAAAACTCTGGTTTTCCATACTTATTATTCCTGTGCAGGCACCATTGTTGGGTTATGCAACCACAGCCATATACCACCTACTCAGTGTGCTTTTGTAAAGGTCAGTGTATCTGTTTTAACCCCATTTATCACCCTCAAGAGCAATGGCTAGAGGTCTGAAGCTTCACCAACACTGGGAAGCTTGTTAACAGTATATATGCCCAGAATATGACAGTGGGACATCCTGTTGTGCATACTACAGACAACTTTACTGCCTTTATTGGCGTTATGAAAGGTGGGCAAATTGGCTTAATGGGGAGGGTCATATCTCTTTTTAAAAAAAAAGAGAAGTAACCCCCAACTGCTCTTGGTGCCTGTAACCCTATAAATTTCACTATTTTCAACCTCAATGAAACAGAATAAAAAGTTGGGAACAAGTTTGACATTTTAATCTATGAAAAGGGAACAAACCCCAGTACTTTGCTACATTTTCAACTCATCATGATCACTCATGAGAGCATCTCATACCACATCTTTCACTCCTTTTACGAGAAGATAAAAAGTGACTTTCCCATCTGTTAAAAACAAAAACATGTTCCTCTCACTGGCTGAGTCCATAGCACAAACTCTAAATGTAACTTCCTGTTATGTTTGTGGGGGAATGAATATGGGAGACCATTGGCCATGGAGGCAAAAGAGCTAAACCTGTAAGAGCCCTTTAATAAAACCATTCTCCATAGCCTTGGGGAGAGTGTTTGGCTCCTAAAAACCTCTATTATTGGGAATTACTATATTTCCCATCCAAAAGGCCAATTCTCCACCCTGGTAGGGGACTTGATCTGCTTGGGACAAAAGTTTTACAATGATGCTACCCAGGAGACTCAGTGGTGGGGGCCTCTGAATCACATGGAACCCCAACCTCACCCACTGGGTAACTTTCCTAAGCTTGCAACAGCCTGGAATAATCTCAGGCTGAGTAACTCCTGTTTACAGATTAATGATAAGGGAAGGTAATTAAAGAGATTCCTGACAAGATAAAAAAGCTTGCCGATGTCCCCGTGCAGACCTGGAAGGGATGTTGTCCCAATGACCTATTCAGGGGCTGGGTTTCAACCCTAGGTGGGTTCAAGACCTTAACAGGAACAACGTTCCTTGTCTTAGGAGCACGCCTGATATCACTCTGCCTAATCCCCCTGGTACTGTGGTCTTTCACAACCACTATAAAAGCCACTATGGAAAACAAAAAAATAACTGCTTGTGTAATGGCGCTACAGAAATAAAAAAACCCTAGATTAAGATGATGCTCTTTGACCCACAAGTGGTTCTGAGCATCAAAGGGGGGAATGTGGCAGGAATTCAGGGAGGGAGAGGAAGATTTATGAGTGCTACAGTGAAACAAAGAAAAACCTGAGTTGGGAATGTTACCTGGAGACCAGAGAAGGGTCACCTTGCCCCAGAGGTTAAAGCAGCCAACAAAATAACATGTGACTATGTATGGGACAAGCTGTACCCACCATTTCTGTAACCTGCTCTAAACAGTACATAAGAAAAGCCTCCTTTGTTCTCGGGGCTCAGCCTTTGAACTTGAGTTTGCTGAGTCGCTGCCGGCTTGCTTAATAAACTTGTTTCCCAAAAGCTTTGGTGCCCTCTCTGTCTCTGTCTAACCCCTCTTGCAACACTTACCCCCAGTATTGACCCCCAAATTATTCCCAAACATTCATTTTCTAAGTAATGAACCTCAAAGTATAAAGCTGGCTTTACATCTTTCATAAATTGCTCCTCTCCATGTCATTAAGAAATCGAATGAGCAAATCCAAAAAGAAGGTGAGTCAGAAGGTAGGAGCAAGACTCAGTGTTGGCTGAATCACTGGGAGGGTTTGTGGAGACAGCCTGTGGGCCTCACAGCCACAGCTTCAGTACTAGGTTTGGGAGAATGCCATTCCTGTTTCCCAGGACATGTGCAAACCACAGAACCATTAAGCACTTGTTGGAGGTTGATGAAGTTGTAACCCATGTGCCTGTGAATGTGGCAGACGTAGAGAGTTCAGACCAGGTCTTTATAGTGAGCCATAACCCATATCACTGATGTCTTCATCAAAGTGGAAATTTAGAAACAGACAGACATGGACAGAGGGAAGACGCTGTGGAAATAACAGCATCCACAAGCCAGGCCATGCTTGAGGCCCCCACAAGCAGGGAGAGGCATGAGGCAGGCTCAGTGCTCTCACTGGGAAACAGTTCTGCTAATACTTGGACTTTGGAGTTCTGGCCTCCAGAACTGTGAGACAGTAATGTTCTGTTGTTTACACAACCGAGTCTGTGAAACTTTGTCACGGTGGCTGTACATGGGCATCACGATGTCACTGCACACCATCATGCAGACAAGGTCAGAAAATCTATCAAAGAGAGGATCCATACTTACTGCCTGCTCACAGTGCACCAGAAAAATCATGTTTATACAACTATGACTGTTATACAGTGTTTCTAACATTTATCTGAATTGAGAAGATAGCATAAGCCTAATCAGGAATGACCAGAAAAACGCACTTTCTGTGAAGGTCTAGACAGTTCTTCATGTCCTGACCGAAAGTGATTAGAGTGAAGGTCACGACTAGTAACGAGCTCCTAAAATGAACTTGTCTTTATTACTACTACCCAAAGCAAGACTGAACTTTATGAAGTGAAATGTGGTTTGCTTAATGTTAACAAGACATTAACAAGTTGTTCACAATTAATAAGATATGCCAATTAGCAGTCTCAAATTTTAAGAGATGCATCATGCATTAGGGACAATCTGAGACAAAGTCCACCGTCTGTAACAATTGTTTTCATATTCACACTACAGTAAGACCACAGCTAATGAACACTGATCTATATTCCTACCACCAGATGGGAAGGACACTGTTCAGATGTAAATCATAATTTACGTGACTACTTCTTTTCAGTAGAAAATATTGGATTTCCCCAATATTACCAACATTGCTGTATTGAAGTCTTCCTTTTTTCTTACTTTTGTAGAACCTATTTCTGGAAGTGGGAGATGCACAAGGAACATCTTTATGGCTGTTCCTTAACTGTTTCTGTGTGGCTCCTGTCAATTTACGATGTCTGGTGCCAAGACTCTAACTCCACCGTTGCTCCCACAGGAGGCCACGAACAGGGACACACTTGAAGTCAGAACATGGATAAAGAACTAGAGTTCTAGAAAGCCAGTTACAACCTGGAAATTACTTACATTTTTAAAACCTTAAGAAAAAAAATGTAAACTTCACATCATTGAGTTCTAAGGTATCAATGTAAACATATTTTGACATATTCCAGCAGGCAAAAGTATGTTCTATGTATCTTTTATGACGGGCTAAAAAACAAGTGGAGATGAGACAACAGGGCTCAAGAGGCTCCATCCCCAACCTCATAGGACTGCCCTTCACTGTCAGAGCTTTCCCACAACCTTTCCTGTGGACTCTGGGGTTACTTACAGGTAGAACATCAACCTGGATCTTGTGCAGGTAAAATTCTGCAATGTGTGTGTTAAGCACACAGTGACTGCCTTACCTCAGCCACCTTTTCATTTGCCATTTCCAGCTGAGACACCAGCTCTTGGGTGTGAAGTTTCTGTCGGCTCAGCTCACTCCTATGAATTGGGGGAGGAGGAGAGGGAGAAGACCTTAAAATAACTCTTCAAAATCTACAATCGAATCTTTGTTAGCAATGCATCTATATATTCATATTTGGAGCATAATTATTGTGTCGATGTGCAAAATAATTACCTAATAGATCATTCTCAAGTAACACATTCATTTCTTTATAAAATGTATGTACATTCTAGAGGTCAGTTGTACAACAGTGTGTATATCCTTAACATTCTTGAACACCTTAAAAATAATGAAGATGGTAAATTCCAGGTCATGTGTGTTTTGTCACAATTAAAACCGTGTCAGTGCCTGGTGCAGTGGTACATGCTTGTCATTCTAGCACTCGGCAGCTGATGCAGGACAATCATTAAGTTTGAAGCCGGCCTGGGCTGCACAGTGAGATCCTGTCTCAAAAATATTTAGTCATAATTGAAAAATCATAAATGGGGCAAATATTAATATATTTTACCACAATAAAAAAGAAAATTAAAAATATCTATTTTAAAGCACGAAGCATCTTCACTTTTATTGCCTTCAGATACTATTAGACATTAAAGTAAAATTACACTCATATTAAATAGAGCATTTGTTACTAAACAATGTGTGTTTACAATTTAAACACTGGCCTGCAGTGCTTCACAGGGGCTCTAGAACCTCTGAGGTCCCAGCACCATGAGCACTCTGGCATCCAGCATCGCCCGCTGTTGTGCTCAGACTGCGTGGTCTTCTGGCAGTCCGCACGGCTCGTCATTCACTCACACCCTCTGGTCCTCATTAGCTGGAGTTATCTGATGCTTGAACTGCTGTCACCATCTTCCTTCCTCCCAGGTTAGAACACCGTGTTAAGAACAGCTTAGTCAGAACAAAGGGCAAGTCAATTTGTCAACGTAAGGTAATTCAGTATTGGCTTTTGTCCCTTCACCTTACTTATACTTTCCAGATCAATAAACCAACTCACACACAGGACACAGGGAAAAGGGCGAGGAAGTGCAGTGGAGAGGGTTACATTGACTTAAGTACAATGCATGTAACAGGTATAACATCAAGGCAAAACCCCACTGAACAGCAAACAGACACCCAAACTACTTACGGACAAGAATGAAAAGCAAGTCATGCTAAGGGAAGGCACTAACGGGAGGGGAAAGGTAAAAGAAGGAATTAAAGGAGGTGAATATGGTTGATGTACTTCATACACAAGAATGAACATAGAATTTTTAAACCTGTTGAAATCACCATAAGAAGGGGACTAAGGTAGAAAGAAGAAAAATAAAGGAGATGAACCAATTTGGTATATAATACATATATACATGGAAATGTCATAATGAAACTCTCTGTATAGCTATCTTAAATAAACAAAAATGTCCCTTTTTCAAAAACGGAGGACAGGAACATAAAAATAGGTCCTGTCTGGGAGCTGGTACCAGTGGAAGTGGGGAAGACATAAGGAAAGGGTGTAGGAGAGAAAATATGGTGGAAATACTACATATTCATGATTGAAAATGGAAAAATAAGACCTGTTGAAACTATTCTAAGAATGGGGGGGAGGAGGGATAAAGGAAAATGATGGAGGGTATGAATTCAATTATGATATAAGAACTTCTGTAAATGTCACCATGTACCTCCAGTACAATAATATCATGACAAAAATAAAATTAAAAAAATTTCTAATACCTTATATCTTGTTTGTCCAAAGTTTTTGTTAGCTCTTTGCTCTCATATCAGAATTAATGAGATCATTCAGTGACTGTATTTTCAAGCCAGCCATCAAGAGGTATAATAAATTTGGGAGACCACTGCTGAAAAACTAATGTGTTCTAAAGCTCTTTTTTTCCCTCTCTTTGGGTAAAGATCATTTCTAGGAAGTTTATTTTAAAAGTTATTTGAAGTTGTAAAGTCATGGGTAAGCTTTCCTTACAACATTAAGAATTTGCTTTAGAGTAAGACTGGGGGAATTATGGAGCTGACTGATTTAACAAACACTGAGCTGGTGCCCTTACCTCTGCACACTGTGCTAGGGGCGAGAGAGATGAGGTAGGCGACCAAGGCTCTGCTCATGAACACCTGGCAACACTGAGGTTTATATTCTAGGCAGTGAATACTCTACGAGGCCACGGAACTAAGGGGATAGCCACTGTCTCTCCAGAGGAAGTGGGCTTTACAGCGGATCTATGACAGATAAATACAAGTTAGGCAGACAAAGGGAAGGGAAAGAAGAGTGTTATAATCATATCCATGTGTGAAGGCCAGGAAATAAGAAAGGGTAATACATCTGGAACCAGAAAGAAGCTTGGTATGAATGGGACACAGTGTTCAAGGAGGTGGAGGAAGTAGGAAATACAGATGATAAAGGATTTTATAGTCAGGACAGGAGCTAAGATCTATCCTCCACACCCCAGACAGGCACAAGAGGAACGACAAGATCAGATCTGAACACCTGAAAATCTTGCTGACTGCAGCAGGAAAAGCAGCAAAACTGTAGTCAAATCAGGGAGCTTTAGCAGTAACTGGGGTGACCAGCATTAGTAGCGGGCACAACTGTGACTGAAGAGACGGGACAGGTCTCAGGGATATTTAGGAGGTGGATGAGCCACCCTGGATTTTGGGGTGTGAAGAGGAGTTCAGGAAGACACAACTCGGCTTGTGTGCCTGGGCTGGCCATCTGTAACTGGGAAATACAGAATGAAATAAATGTGGATGAGCGAGGGGTAAACACATCAAGTTTGCTGCACCTATAGAAGTGCTTACTAGCCACTGGCTGACTTCATTTTAATGTTTTATAATAATAATTAACCCTTATCTGTTTGTCTGCATCACAGAACTGGATATCTCAACCCACACTGAAAGATGCAATTTCCACTCTGAGTAAACTTCAATTCTCACTAGCACTGGCATACACGCTAGCTGACATGGTGTGGTTATGAGGACATGAGCAAAGCTTCCCTACAATATATCAGTTTTTTGAAAGTACCACAAATACTCTGAATAAAATAATGTGTGAGGTAAGAGGTTTACACTTGGGCCAATGTCTACACCATAATTAATTACTACATTCTGTCATTATTGAAGCAGAGATGATGGTAAGGAGGGGCCACACAGATTTCGGTTGCTACCACAGAAGGGAGAACTCCCTCACTGTATGAAATCCCTTAGTGATGATTCTATTCTACAGTCCGAGAGAAAACAAAAGGTGTCCTCCTTGTCTTAGAGGTGATAGGTCTGCAGCTGCAGCCGTTGTTCGTTGACTCTCTCATGACAAATTAACAGAGCATGTGCCAGATGTTTTTTTCCTGTTGAATAATGCTATAAAATGCTTCAGTTACTTATAGTAATTATGCATTTTGTAATCTGCCAGTACCTACAGCTGCCTCTCATACTGTTAATCAAAAAAAAAAATTTTAAAAAGCTGTCACGGTAGTCAAACATTACAGATCTACAGCTAAGAAATTATGTTTTAGAGTGTGAAAAGAACTCCTTAGACTCCAGTGTGTGCAATTCAACACACACACACAGATGCAGACAGAGAGACACAGACACAGATGCAGTCACACAGACACACATACACACACACACAGATGCAGACACACACAAAGACGCAGACACACAGAGACACACACACACGCAGACACACACAAAGACGCAGACACACAGAGACACACACACACACGCAGACACACACAGACATAGACACACAGGCTGAGCATCCGTAACTTGAAATTCCAAACGCTTACTTTTTGAGCACTAACATAAAGTGCGAAGGTTTTCAAATTTTGGAGCATTTCCAACATCAGGTATTCAGATTAGGGATGTTCAACCAGTAAAATCTATGCAAATATTCCAAAATCTGAAAAGTGAAATACCTCTGGTCCCAAGCATGACACACACACACACACACACACACAGACACACGCGTGCGGGGTGGGAGGGGGGAGGGCAGGTGCAGGTAAGACATGAGCCTATGGTTTTGTTAAAGAGACACACATGACTGGTAGTTTCTGCTACAATTCAGTAAGTGGCAAAAGGAATGAGCAGAGTGGCAAGGAGTGCAGGAGACTGACTCTCTCAGGAGACTGTGAATGCCTTCCAGAAAATGGCATATCAGCTGGCTCTGGAGGGAGGAAGGTTTTCTGGGTGAGGAGCAGGACATTCATAGAAAGAGGAGTATGTGCACATTAGTTCCCCAAATCATCTTTCACTCCCACCTCCTCCTTTATATACTCTATAGCCAATCTATCAGTACCTTCCATTAATTCTAAAGAAAAAAAATCCAAAAAGATCTTAAACTAATCTAGCGTTCTCTTTATTCTTAGTCTAAAGCCACTGTCATATCATTTTTTTACTCATTTTCAGCACAAGTAGAATGTGAGATATTATAACCTTAAGAGTTTTTTGTTCGATTTCTCTTAAGACTGACACATAGTAATTGTACATATTTATAGGATATGGTGTAACAGTTCAGTACATGTACACACCGTATAATGATCAAATCTGGGTGCTCAGCATTTCCCTTACCTTAAAGCATTTGTCTTTTTTGTGAAGTATCATAGTCTTCTAGTTCTGAAATGTCCAATGAGTTGTTGCAGACTGTAGCAACAGTTCTGTCCTGTCAGTGAAATCTGTTCCTCCTATGTAACTGGTGTGGTGCCTGCCACACAATTTCCCTCTAACCCCTTCCTCACTGCTCTCCCTACTCACTCAGTGACAACTCCACTGATGACTTACATTGTCTTCCTGTGACTGTCTTATTTTACTTGAAATCATGTCCTCTCGTCTATGTTGCTGCAAACGACAGGATTTCATTGTGTAACACTCCCCACGTACACACCCATGTACACACCCATGTACACAGTACACCTTTGGCACCTGTGGGCCTCTGGTTCTGCCATGCTGAGGATGCTGTGCACACTTGATCCATTTTCCTCATAACGTCACCCAACTTCTGCTAACGACTGGCTACCTGTCAGCAAGCCTCAATGCTTACTTCCCCACCTCAGTTAAGCAC